CTGGCACCAAGGCATTTTGGATCATTTTGGGCCACATACTGTTTTTTCTTGGGATCTGGAAGTTCGATGAAATCGCCGCAGCCTCCTCAAAACATCTCAAAAAACAAACCTATCACAATTTGTCCATGACATCCTCATGAAATCAGCAGTTTGCGCTCTGGTCGAAAGTGGAAGCGTTCAGAGAATAAGAACTGCGTCGGATTCTGTGGCCATCTTGGTTCGCCAGCAGAACTTCTGAAGCCCTCTCGCTCGAGGACCGATGGGGTTTGGTTTTCCAGTTGTTTCGCATGTCAAGCGCGCCACTGGCGTTGCAAGGCTTTCAGTTTGTGGCGATGTGGCTTTGAGATGGCTTTGAGATGATGAATGAACTTATACAGAAATATTACAGTCTGTGCGACATTCTGCAGTCGTATGCATTTCTTTAGGATTGTTTTTCTCTCTCCCTTCGCCGGGTTTGCTTCTCGGTTGGACCTTTTTCGTGGTTTGGCCCCCCTTTCCAGCCACCAAGTTTGGCTCCTTTGCTTTTAACCTTGACTATCGTTATAAATGGAATAGTAGGACCCCAATTCACTGGAAATGCTGGCGCAATATTGTTTCGAATTCAGGGGCTAAGACTGAGACTAGGCCAGGCAAGCATATTAGACTCGCCCCTCCATAGAAATTTGGCAAAGAATCCATTCCAGTTGTTCCATGCACTCACCCCACCAGTCACAAGATTGACCCATTTGGAAGCCCAGACGCTCGATGTATGGTGTGTATGCCTATTATGTTGACCCCTGAAACCACCCAAATGTAGGTATAGAATGGCATGCCATAAATGGAGTGTTTGGGAAGGGACTTGCAAAGCAAGGGCCTCCCGTCGTCGATCCATCAGGTTCGCCCGATGTTGTTTTCTTCGCTACAGGAAGCTCCGTGCGGAGGCATCATGGAGGCTGAGGACAGACCAACCAGCTATTTGTTTGGGCATCCTTTTTGACGACTGGTAGGGGGTGGTTGAATGACTGGCATGGGTTTGTCATGGAATCACTGGTATGGCAAATGGGGTGGTTTGATCAAGACAAACATCCTCCTTTGGGGGCGATGCACGGCTCGTGGTTGGGGAGATTACAGGCACCACGGTGCCACAGTTGGATGACTTCAAGTTCAGTAGAGGCCAAGTCTTGACCATCATTCACTGTGAGACTGTGCGTGACTAGAGTAGGCGGCCCAAAGCCTAAACACTCGAGCATCATACTATATTAGTTCAACACTTATTTGTGTTCTGAACGATGCGTTTGCTGCACATGGGGGTGTGAACAGCCGCAAGCTGTGCTCCGAGGGTCCGCCATGCACCGAGTCCTGCCACTGCTGCAGGACAAGTTTGCAGCTCTTCGCACCAAGATCTTTACCGAGTCTCTAGAGACATCAAATGAGCCAAGGCGATGACGTTTTGAGTGGAGAGCAGAGACATAGAGAGACCAGAGAGAGAGAGAGAGAGAGAAAGGGAGGGAGGGAGGGAGGGAGAGAGAGACCAGAGACCATAGAGAGACCAGAGAATGCAATATGGCGAGAGAGAGAGGGAGAAAACACAAAAACAACAAAAGAACTGCGGTCAATAATGGTGTACCGAATGCATATAAACGCATTGGGTTTACACGTCAATGCCGCAAAAGGGAGGGAAACATCAGCAACCCTTAGGTGTTGGCTTTTGTGACTTTTTGCGGCGGTTTGGTGTTTGTCCATGTCTGTCCTATTTTTTGCATCATGCCTCCGTCGCGTCAGACGAGCCATCGAGTCAGGGCGCCAGACTCTGCACACGGAGAGAGAGAGAGGGTCCAGTTACAGAAGAGACTCAGTGGTAACCGGGCTGAATGTTAATCCATTGGGCTGAGTTCAGGGAGTTTGGTTCCAATGTTGGCCACAGCAACTTCAGGTTGGATGGCACAAACCGATCAAACACTTGGGATGTGTAAGTACGTATGTGACCTATACGATACCTCTTCGGTGTCGTGCCATTTAGTAAATATCCTGAATGGAAGCTGGGAGAAAGATTCCTACCAACGTTGGCACATGTTGGCACACTTTTCATGGGATGGCTGGAGCACTCACTTTGGCTAAGATCTTGTGATGAACGCCTTTGTTAAAAGAAAGGCTTCATAAGACATCCTTTGTCACATGATAGCTACATGAAGATACATGAAGCTGCCATGTCGCAGTAGGTCGTCTCCCCTCGTTTCGATTTTTTTTTCGGCAGTGGAACTGGATCATCGGCACAGGTGGGGCTACTTTGGCATCCCAGGCTCACTGGCCATTGGTGACAACTCCTATGCACCCAGGCCGGCACCCCACTGGCGTCCGCGGAGTGCGTTGGACGGAAGGGCCGGGGAGGATGAAGCCGGAGCTTTCTTGTTTCCTTTGACGAACAAAATGCAATTGAATCAAGATATTATTAGTTGGGCCGTAGGGCAAGCTAATGGGTCCCTATGGAGACTTCCTATATAATTGCTGCATGCTTCCGGGGATTGCCTTTGACGCCCGTTGTGGACCGTTTCCCATCTGAAGCCGGATTGTTAAATGGCATTTCAGCTGTGGCGCAGGGGAGTATGGCAGTCTAGCAGCTGTCGTTACCAAACCCTGCGGAGACGACATCTGGCCTCCAGCAGTCGAAAAGCTCGCCATGTAGGCGACCAATCCCCGTGGACCCCAGTGACCACTATATAATTATAAGGAACCAGGGTTTCTAGGTCTATGGTTTCAGTCTTTGAAAACACTGGTTACCAGCTATAGTGGTAACTGGATCCCCTGAAAATGGCTAGCATGGGCTACAGAATGCACCACTTGGAACGATTCAGGATTCCTATCGGCCACTAGAATCTGGTCCATTTTCAGAACCCCTCTTCGTCTCGGATCTGCCCCCCGGATGTTCGCGCATGGTCTTTTTTTCGAGAAGGCACCCCTTCGAACGCTCGGCTCGGCAGGTTAACCAAGAAGCCAGTGGCCGATGATGCCGATGAGAACACCACACGGAACATCCAGTCCTGTCCGACCAAGACTCTTGGAGGTCTCAGGCCGCGAGCGACCACGGCACCGGTCATTCAGCTGACCATCCATGGGGCCTCCTTTTGGGGATGGGGATGGGGATGGTAGCTCGCAGCTCCGTTCCTCGGGGCATGCGCCATGCGGAGGTCAAATTCCATACCCCTTCTCCTACTCGTTGAAGAGGTGGTGGTTTAGACTGGCACATTCTCTGGAACAAGACCTGGAGCCTGAAGTTAAAATTACAATGGTCCCACTAGTATGTACCCCCTACGTTCCTTCAATCGACTTTTCTTGGTTTCTACTTTTCACCCAACCCATGTACGAGTTGGATTGGTCGACCCAGTGCTGGACAAGTGGAACTGCTCCTGCGTCCCGCAGTTTCTGTGCAAACTGAGGAAAGGTACCACACCAGATGTCTACTTCAAGTTCGAAACTCCTTTAGCCATTGGAGATCCGTGGCTCAGCAAGAGATTGTGAGAACATCACAGAGGCTGATGAAGGACATGCGCGGCTGACTAGTCGGCCCACTATGAAGATCTCTGAAGTGATTTTGCTGAGAGGACTTCTGAAGTTTGTATCTTGGGGGGGTCGCACGCCAACTAGAGCCGAAAAGAAGCACACCTGGGACCTCTTGTTGGAAACGGGGCTGAAGAGATGTTCATTGATCCAGTTTGCATCCTCCGCCCCGAATCAGGTTCGTCGATCCGGGCGATGCCATGAAGAAGGGCAAGGTCTGGATGTTGGACGCTGATGCAAGCTTCAAACCACCTGGCAAGGTGAAGCAAAGCTGCTCGGTGATGTGATCCGATGTGTTGGTTGGATGGGTTGATAGACCAGCCCAGCCAGCGGCCCAGCCTCCCCCTGGTAGCACCAAGTGGTGGAGAAAGTTGATTGGCTTGTGCAGAACGCAAAGTTGTAGTCACATATGAGTCACTGCATGTTTTTCACTGTTCCGCATGCTGGCTGAGCCAGCTCCAGGGTAGTATACGGGATCCCGGTCTTGGCATCGCCAACCCTGGACGCTTTCGCTTGCACACGTGGAGACGGGGCACGTGGCATGGCACAAGTAGATCAGGTCTCAGGTTGCGATCGGCCGATCCATCCCTCAGCTTGGCCCAAAAGGATCCAAAAGCATTCACACTCAGGTATCAACAAGCTTGGTTATGAGTACGTGGAACTCTCAGTTCGAGCTTGGGTGGGGGTGTGTTCTGAAGAGCGCTGATCACATCCCAGCTTGGAGAATATCATATGTTTGCTTTGTCCTGGTTTAGTGGTTGTGGATGGTTATGGAGGATAATGACATGCACATTAAAGCTAAGTTTTCTTAGGGAGAGAGATTGTGTTCATGGTTTCTGGGTGGATCATCCCAACATGTGACAAGAAGATGGTAGTCGGAATGATGCACCCCCAATCACTTCAAGTGTGGATTGCAATGGCGAAACTGTGGTGGAAGGTGAAGGTTGTTCATACTGATCAAGGGCAGAGGAGCAAGCCAAAGTTCATGAAGATGCAGCTACTGGTATTCCGGAGGTAACTATAAGAGGCATCTAGACTTGCCAGATGAAAGAGGCTTTGCATCTTGTGACATGTTCATGTTTATACCACGATACCCGTACGTCCCAGACGGGTGGAACTGCATGACACTTTTTTGACTGGACTTCAGGGCAAAGGGTGACCCGAAGCTGATCCACTTGAAACACTCTGACAGGGTTTGATGTGGTTTGATCACTTTGGATAGGATGGAATAGGTGTATGTGAAGCGTTCGCCCACCACCCTCCCAAGTCTTGCCATGGGTGCAGGCCCTTGAGCTATTCACTTATGGATCCATGCTGCATCGCGCTTAGGTGGAGCATTGTGACCAAGTGAAGGATCCCAAGGAGATCAAAGACAAGTGCCTTCTCAACTTGCCACCCTGGATCAATGAGAAGCTCTCCCATCCACCCAGCAACAGTGCCAACAGTAGTGTCCAATTGTGGATGAGTGTTTTCGCTGTGATCGTGGAGAGTATGCTTTATACAGTAAATTTGGCTCATCCAGAGGTAGCTTGTGTTGGAGCTGGGTATACAAACACCTTGAAACTGTCCACATGGGCGTTGAATTCTTCATTTTTCGTGTTACTCCCCTGCAGATTAACATGGAACCCTCAAGAACCAGAAGACAGTCTTCCACTGGTGCCATACTTGAAGGACCCCAAAGCAGGAGTCAGCTGGTTTACGGGTTTTACATGGTTTTACCGCTTTATCTGAGAGAGGTCTTGCATCAAACTGGTTCGACCTCATTTTGCAGAACATGTGCAGTGTTTGGTATCGAACATGTGTGTCTCATCGCCTCCAGTGTCGCACCCTGACGGGGTCCACTTGGAGGATTCCTTGCTCAAGTGCTCGTGCGCTGAAAGCCACAACTATGACCAGATGGATTCGCTGGATACGGAACATCTGATGCGTGCCTTCTCCGCTGGTACTCGGAAGGTACTCAGACTATATCCCACCTCGCAACATCCTGGGCGGTGCGTCCAAACGAGGCACGAGATGCGCTGAGAAGTTTCCCCACTCTAAGATGGAATGGTATGATTGGTATGGAATGGTAGAAATTGTCCTTTTGTGAACATAAGTAGTTGTTGTTATGGGCCTGTCTCTGTCCCCATTCCATGTGTCCGTTGGACTGTGTACGCTACTAGTCCCTGAGAATGTACTTCTTGAGGGGCAGACCCACAATGTGATGGACAGGCTTTGATGCCCTTGCCCAGCTTGCGCTGTTCTCAACCCACCATATTAGAGGAACACCCTGCGGTTTTCAACTGCTATCCAGCCTGCTTTGCTTATATTAGTCAACCGTCTATATCTACCAAGCATTTTTCCATGGCATGTGTTTGAGTCCTCATGGCAGCGGATGCAGGTGGCCCCGGCGTGCTCACTGGCGGTGTTCTCTTTGGCTTTGGGGACCGTCAGAGTGATGAGTCAAAGGTGGAGAGTTGAAGAGAAGCTCAAACTTGCACAAGATCCGTACCGTAGATGCAAGACATTAGCAATGTTCCCGCAAGCCGAACAGATCGTGGCAAATTGTGCAAGCTTGAAGCTTCCCTGAGATTTGCTGTTTTCAAGCTGTAGGCTTGCAATTGTTCTACATGGTTACATGGAAATCGCCACCTGCTTGGTATTCGGATGTCATGGTCATCCAGGGGTCGCCATCCACGTCACTTTGGAGCCTGGAGGCTCCGCCTGCTCCAGGAGCCTGGAGCTTTCCCGGAACACATCCCCGACGACTACGATGCTGCCAGGCACAGAGGGGGGGATGCTGCCATGCTCCACCGCGGCCGTGAAAAGCGACCCTGTCGGTCGATTTCACCCCACCTACTTCCAAAGCTATTTGATGCCTGGACTGGACCTTCAAGGGGTGTCTATATTTATAGCCCCAAAAAGCCGTGATTCGGGGTGTCCATTAACCACCCCGACTGGGGGTCCTGGATATGGTGATGGTTTTAGAGATATTCTAGATGCCCTTTCAAGGTTTAACTGTATATAGATATCTACTCCAACCATGATCCAACCCACTGGCTATGATATGGTTCGTTCGTGAGTTGAAACCACCAATGAGCTATATATACATTCATATATATATATATATATTGTAAATACACGAGGTTCCAACGAGATGGCGTTGACCACAACTCGCTCGTTTTGGCACGTGTGCTCCTGTCCAGCACCTAGTATACTCGTACATCATGCAGCCCCCACAAAGTGTGTTTTTCCCCGACCTTTTCAGGTGAGGGTTCGATTTTAGAACCACCTTTCAGGCTGAAGATCACTTGAAGAGTCTATTTTCCCTATGCATCCCTCACATTCCTTGATCAGACGTGTTGAGCGCGCGAGCCCGCGACGCAGCTCCTCGTCGCGACCGACGCTCCCTGTAGGGACCGACGCTCCGCACAGGTCACGTAACACAGCGAACGGCCAGCGGTCAAGTGGAGTTCACCCCCCGGTTCCGTGAAGTCCTTCCATTTGAAAGTCGAGAGGTGACCATCTTAAAGTCAAGTGAAGTCCGACCGAGAGTCGTGGTCACCATCTTCCACTTCCGCATGTGAGTCGGTGTAGATGGGCCGCCGGTCATCCGGATGGTTTTGGGCTTGAAAGCGTCTTTGGAACTGAATTCCTTTGCTTTGGTGCTGGAGCAATGAAGGGGAACACTCTCAGGTGCCATCATCTCTCGGCTTCATTCAAGCGGGTCGCCCCATTGGCCCTTGCCGCGGTCGCCCCATTGGCTCCAGGTTCAGACTGGTGACGTAGACTCGTTGATATCTCTTGATCAATAACCCCGCTCATTTGCATGGTACAAACAAATAAGGCCTCTTCAAATGCTGAGACTTATTAAAGTGAGTTTTGGATTTGATAATTCCTCTATCAAGTTATCCGCTCTGAGAATCCCTTCTTCGTGATTTGTCCTCACGTCCTCCTTCGTCCCCGCAGGAAGCAGCGCAAGAAAGAGCTGGAAGAGCATCACAGTCACCCGACAAACCACGTCCCGAGTGTTTCGGGAATGACCCGGGCGGCTCGCCGCGAGCCGCCTTGGCGAAACCTTGAATCCACGTCCGAAAAAACAGGAGACTCCGGGATTTTGATACCCAGCCACGAAGTCGGTGTTGGCCGTTTTTTTTTTTTAATTTTTGGCTCCCAGGCAAGAGTCGGCAATACAAGGCATATACTACCATGAGTTACGGTATGATAGTATGCGGAGTATTCTACGGTCAGATTATTTAAGCATGTGGGATGCTTCCTTGTAGCATGCACTGGAGCAACTACGGGCACTTTGTTTGCAAGGGGTTTGGCAGATTGGTGGCAACGTGTTCACCCGATGCATAGCTTGATGAGGTATAGGTTGACATGATGTTAGTCTGGGGGAGGGTAAGAATTCATGTTCGGAACCTTCGACGGAACGCTCGGCGACGGCGTTTTCACCCAGGCAAGATCCAGGAGCAATCCTTCAAAGGCTTGGACTATGGCAACTTGGTTTTCTTCCAGGTCCACCGGTCGGGGTGGTTACTGTAATAGACAGCCCAACTTTACTGTTTTGGGGGGCGAAATCGGGAATCCTTGAGCTTTTAGCGAATCATGACAGAGAGAGAGAGAGAGAGAGAGAGAGAGTGCCCCAGAATTGTTCATGAAACCCCCAGCTAAGGGTACTATGTAAATCACTGGACATGCAACTTTTCCAGTTTTAACCCACTGAAGTTCCAGTTCCAAAAGGGGCGGTTCTTTCGTGCTTCAGTGAGTGCCAAGAACACTCCTGAATTCACCGCTCCTACCCCAAAAGGATCCCAAACCAAAACCAGAGACCCCATGACACCCCCAATAGAAGAAACACATCGTTCGTGCCCTCTCTCGTGTTCAATTGGAACTGATGGCGTCCGCATGTTCTCGTCCTCGTGTGCTTCCAATACTATGGGCTCCTCTCGTCTCCTCGTCAAGGAGGCAAAGTTTTACTTGGAAGAACTCCGCGAAAACAGGGATGGAAGAAGGAGGTCTCGCTGATGAGCATGGTTGTACGTTCCAGAGTCGTTTATAACTATATCATCTCGAGCACATGGTGGGCTTGGTCCTTCTTACTTCATGTCCCTCAGGCAATCGCTATTTCCAAAGCAACGAGGAGGCCTTTGGAGGTGCGTCAGCGTCCCGCGAGCGTCAGCCTTGAAGCCGTCCGCCGCGAGCCACCGGGGGGAGGGCGCTCAGCGCCTGTTCGATGGGTTTTCAGGGCATGGCCGCATCAAAGCGAAAGATGGGATGTGGCACCTTACAAAGGTGGTACAATTATGTAGCGATCAGCGATGGATCAATCATCTTGAGCCGAGGGATCAAGCCTCAACCAACCTGGAGATGTAGAACCAGCCTGGGGACGGGAGGTGGAGTCATCTGAACCTGTGAGAGAAATCCCTACGCGCCCAGTTTTCCGGGCTGTGCTGGAAGCTCCCGAGACCCAACCAGCTTACAGGTATGTTTTGATATGTTTTAGTATTAGGATCCTAGAAACTCTCCATATGTTTTAAATTAAGCAACTGTCTACATGATGTTTTAAGTAGTTCATCTTGACTGTTCTTTCTATTAAAACTCCCTTCTGGAGATGTTGACGTCATCAATGCGGACAGGTGGATTCATCAGCAGTGAACCACCGTTTGGCCAGAATCAGGCAAGGACAAAAACACCACAAAAAAAGACAACCTGCAGTCACAAAGGGTGCTATCCATGGAGGAAGTATGGAGGTTAGGGGTGCCCGAACGTCACATCCACGAGCCCCTGGATGGGACGAGCCACACCACCACCACCACCACCCTGGCCTCCATGTGACTCTTGGAAGCTTCGCCTTTTCAGGCCCTTCAGGCAGCTCAGCTAAGGCAGCTCACAAGCGTTTTCGTTCAATTCCCAGACACCACTCCATGGGACTGGCATATTTATATACTGTACCGATCAGTTGGGGTGGTGCCAGGGGGTCTCTCTGGGGCGGCATATATGGCAGTCCCAGACGGGTCGCGTTTGGGAGGGTTTTTTTCTGACCAAATGGTTCGCCTCTCCATTCTCTGAGCAGCAGGGCAAGCAAGCAGTCCGGCGCCCGCAGGCTTCGAGGGCGTCCCCACGCACGTGCCGCGCGACCCGCCGCCGGACAAGACGGCGCCTGCGGTGAAGAAGAAGGGAAGACGACGCGTATCACCGGGCGGTGAAATGATGTTGCATACAGGGTACTTGGATGCACTTGGATTCCTTTCGGGTAATGGAGTAGCACCCTACCCGAAATCCAATCATAGAAGTGTACAAGAGCCTTGTTTAGAACATTAAATTAAGGATATCTAGTGCCAGAACAGTTACTTTCCTATGTGTTCATTTTTCATGGTGCTTTGAACGAAACAGACTCATTGGAAGAGTGAATCGCAGCAAAACAACAGCAACATGATCTATAAATCTACATAGGGGCCCGTCGCATGAAGTTGTCATCAACGATTGCAAAGAGTCCCACCAGTTGAACAGGCTAGACGCCTCGTGTCTTTGGTCCATGGAAACCTCAAGCGAAGGATGGAACCAGGTGGCCTCCGCAGGCGGGTGGAACACCTTCTGACCTTGGAACCTTCGTGTTTTTTCTGGTCGAAGCCATTGGACACACATCGGATGGTGGCTGGAAAGCAACCCACGTTTGTGGGTGCACAGGATGCTAGCCCACTACCTCTCTTTCTCGCTGGGTGCGATGTTATGAGGGGTCAGGCAGGTGAGTGCTTTGTTCATCGGCCGGTGCTCAGCTCTAGATGATCCAGATTTCTTAAGTCAACGTCCACCGACCACCGAAGAAAACCAAACGACTCGACTTAGGTTCATCGGCACGTCGCGGCACGGAGAGCACGTCGGCGCTCCGCGCGGATGGCGCGCAGAGTGTGCTGATTCTGAGGCCAAGTATCCTCATGAGTCGCCTTTCCGGCCGCCCAACCCCATGAAGCGCGACGCAGTGGGATGCCTCATGGGCGGCATCCCAGAGCCCCTCAGACTGGAAGACGGGAGAAGAAGGGCTTTTATTGCGGAGGAAGGGTTTTGAAGGATTTGAGGCATGTTTTGAGGCTGAAGAAGTGGGTGTGGGGAGCTTTTGGTGGTATTTCTGGAGGCAGGCAGGCCTTGACGCAGATGGTGAAGGGGTTCTTTAACGAGCCAGGGATGACACAGAATCCTCTTAGACAAGGTTTGCTGCCCTCGAAAGTGGATATTGATATAACAGATACAACGTGCGAGGGTCACGACACGTTGTTACTTGTTTGTAGTGTTTGTTCTGTTCTGAAGTTCAAAGTCCATCCTGGTGGTGAAGCGGTGTCATCTACTGTACTCTTACTCGTTCAATGATTCTTCCGTGTGTGTGTTTTTTTAAATGTACCCTAATGTAGACTCTTGATTAACAACCCCCCATATGAAGAGTTGTTTCAATCCAATGATGTGTTTTTTAAAGCAATTATATAGTCAAGAGTGTACATGATGGTGCTCTTGGACTATTAGTTGTTGGTTGACAAAGCCTGACAAACCTCCCATGCGGTGGGACACCATCCCACCCTGCCTGAGGTACATCCCTTGTCCAGAAGATCCTGTGGTCCGAAAGCCTAAGGTGGGGCACAGCTACGATTCGAACATATTCGATCCTGTAGTGGATTCAGTGCGGCTGGCCGACACAACAACTGTAGACATGGGCTCAAAAGCTGGACATGTCAACTCAGGGGTCATTGCTTTTGTTCAGCATTGTCCCAGTGGTTTTGGGATGGGATCCTTGTTTTGAGCCATCGTTGATGGAGTCTTTGAGGGGTGTCCATGAAGCAAGACTCCGGGAAAAGGGACCAACAAAAGCACCAGAACCAACTCATGGGGCCAACAAAAGCACCAGGATCATCTCATAAAAAGCCACTGAAGGATACTCAAGGATACTCAAGGAGTTGTTTGAAACAGACCAGGTCCCTGTTGGGCGTTTTGCTTTTCTGATTTCCCCTGGTGCAGGTGGAAGATGCACCACCAGCACCTCAGCGATCTACAACCGCTGGGCGGTGGGTCGGAGTCGAGCTGAGTCGAGCTCCTCCGAGCTCCGTGCACCGCCGTGTGCGGAGAGAAAGGACCTCTCAGAATCTAGGGATCCAGTCGTACCTGAGAAGGTGGGACTGGGCTGGGTGCCAGGAGGGTTCAGTCGTACCTGGTGAGGAGGTACGACTGGATCCCGGATGGGAGAGGAGAATTTTGGCACCCAAGAACTGGCGGTTTTTCTTGGAGGACCTCACTTGGAGACAGTCCCGGTCCTCGATCCACATAGCCTTTGAGAAGGTGATTGGACTCTCTTTTATGTATACTCGGAGGGTCCAAGTACCTTCTGAGAAGGTATGTGGATCTACCAATTGGCCCTGGAACTCTGTGGAACATTCTCCGGTCCTCGACTGTACAGGGCGCCGGATTGACCAGCGAGTTGGAGAGCCGCGACCGGAATGGGAAGGACATACAGTCATTCACAACCTGGGTGGTGGGTTTCAGATATGTTTGTTCCAACTATAACTTAGGATGATTGGACATGATTGAACCGTATGATTGAACCCACTGCTAGAAGAATCATGCATAACAACTGCCGTGTTCTCGCCCGTTTGCTGAACCTGTAGCGTGCTTGGCAGTGAGTTCAAGAGTGGATCAGATCGCACCACCTGCGGATGCCGCCACGTTCGATCTGGTCGGATGCCGCCACGTTCGATCCCGTCCGGGTGCGCACCGTGCTTGGTAAAAAGGAATGCGTTTTCCCTCCAAGTCCAACGTCCTCATGGTGGAAGTGGATGGCATGGCCCCTGAAAAGACCATTTTGATGAGTTACTTAAGAGAAGGATGTTCCACTTCCATGTTTCCCAGACACTCCATGCCATATATGCCGATCAGGCCAGGGGTGGTGGCTGGGGCGTCAATGGGGCGGCAGTCCCATGGAGTGTATGGGTTTGTTGGAGGGTATCTGACACTTTTCGGGATAGCACCCCCCTCACCGTTGCCAGCCGACGTCTGAACGTCGAAACGTGGCGCCCCGTCGACTCAGGCCTTCAAGACTGGAGCGCCCAAGTACGTGGCGAAGCCCACGCCCTCGGCCCCTGGGGCTCAATTACTGGTTCCTTTGGAGGTTTGGGCGAAGCCCACAAAGTTTAAGGAGTTTGGCTGTGTAGTCGACGTTCTTCCTTTTTTTGGCTGGGAAGTGGTCTTTCTAGAGATGAATGGTTGAAAACATGTTGAAACCACCTTGAACCTGACGATGCGCTGTTATGGACCAGGTTGTTTGGTGGGATTGGGGGCCTAGAGTGCTGCAACAACCATCACGAGTGCTGTAAGCACCCACGTCGCGTGCCATCGACGCTCCAGGTACGCACCCTGGGGACCCCTGACCTGAAGCCGAAGTCAACGGGTTTTTCCCACCGACCATTCCCTATATTTGCATCCTCCGCCCCTTGAAAATGGAGCAAGACTCAAGACCTCCAAAACAGCCATAAATCACCAACACGGTGACGCTCATGTTGGGTGTGCTGAAGAAAAAAGCAGTGTTGTGGAAGGCATGTTCATGAGGTTGGCTTCCAAGCATTGCCGCCTCACTTGGAACCTTCTTACCTGGAGCTTCCCTCACACCATGCTCCTTCCCTCTGGGCCATGCGGCCATGACCCAGGTCACCACGCTAGCACGGAACATGCGCAACGAACGGCCCTCGAGCTTTCTGCGGCCGCGCCTTGGTGGGGACCGGGGACCGCGGTGCGTTCAGCCCACGGAAATGACCGGATGGTGGGAGATGAACCAGAGTCGAAGTCAACGAGAGTCAATGTGCGCAGATGAGTTCTGATGGAAGTGTGCTTCGATAGGCCATCAAAAGGTGTGATAAGGTGTGTGTTAATATATGAGTGAATTGGGTGTTGAACGGGTATTATTTGTGATTCAAGTGTAACACAGTGTAACTACTACAAGAACGCCCCGTAGAGGTTATAGTAATTGCATTTGGTAGGTATCATCCACATACCGTATGTTTTTTGGTTGTTTGTTTTTGATGGGCTGGGCGTTTCCACAGTGGCCAGTTGTTGTTGTTGTTGTTGTTGTTGTTGTTGTTGTTGTTGTTGTTGTTGTTGTTGTTGTTGTTGTTGTTAACGTTGTTGTTGTTAACGTTGTTGTTGTTAACGTTGTTGTTGTTGCTGTTGTTGTTGTTGTTGTTTTTCTCAAAGGCCCTTTCAGTGAATTCTTCCCTGCGCTGCGCCGCGGTTTCTGCGCCAGTGATGTCCCATGGTCCGTCCGTGATGTCCCATCGGTGGTTTTGGGCTGCGCCGCGCGCCAGTGATGTCGTTGAAGAACACTCAAGAACACCCTCCAGGCCTTGAGATGTGAACGACCATCTACCTGGACCTTCAAAGGGGTGTCCAATGGAGATCCCTAGGTAGTGTAGGGTAGGGGCTTCCATTGGTGACCCCTTTGAAGGTGCTGGTATGAGTCTTATAAAGAAGATCTCTTGATGAATTATGCCCCACCAGACATGGATTGTAAAACGATCTTCATTTGGGGGGAGTGAAATCTGATGAAATCTGTTTATTATCAAGAAATGAACATCAAGGTCGTGTTTTCTTATGCTTCATCGGGCCCACAATGAGCTACAATAAGCCTTCAGTGGTCCACAGTTGTTCCCAGGAGCTTTCGCACATCGCTTTGATTTGGAATGGCTTCGGCGGTGTCCAGCGTCCCAAGGACTCTTTGAGTTGACCTTCGGCATCACCGAGAGCTGACCGTTGGGCGATGACAGCGCAGGGTGCACAGGGAGACGTTCTTCGGTCGTCGCGTTCTTCGGTCCAGCGAAGGACACGGGCAGCTAGCAGCTAGACCAGGACCCCACTTTGGGGTGTGTTAATGGACATCCCTTAACCTTTAAGGAGCTACAATTGGACACCCCTTTTTCGGGGGCGCTGGTAGAGATGAAGAGAAGAAGACACGCCCAAATGCTGCAACACATTCTGACTCTCCAAACGTCTAGATTTGATTGAGCCTCGCTGGTCGCGCCTCGTGTGGTCGTCGTGGTCTGGCTGAATTTGCATGTGTTGCTCAACCTCGGCCATCCACAATAAATTTGTGCCAAGTTTCCCACCAAGAAATAGGGACCGGCAAGTGATTGCTTCCTTTTTCCTTTGCCAGTGAAATTTTTCCGCAGGATAAATATCCTATTTTTGAGCTGTAGCTCTAAAAGTTAGGGGGAACCGCACTTCAATTGTATACCGTATACCTGTTTGGCGGGACTGCATTTTGACAGAATCTATGAAGGAATCAGTAGGAATCCGAAAGCTTCGACATGTCAAGATTAAACATATATGATTAAGGGATTAGACTAGACCATTTTAGTGAACATCCCAGATCTTCACCAGGCTGCAGCCTTTCTCCCTGTGCATCACAGTAGGTTTCACTGCATGGCGAGAGCTGTAAGGCACGATCGCCGAGAATCGTGGCCGGTCAGGGTACAACTTGTGAAAAGCCAGCTGGATTTGATGGGGACCATACATGGGGGAGACAGTTTATACTATAGAATGGGTATACTTCAGTGACTGGGGGAATTTCAATTGGGATGATTTGTGGGATTCTCATGTTGCATGCCTACTGTTGCAAAACATGAGTGCATGGTTGATGGCTTTGGGACGATGGCCAAATGGGGAGCCGGAATCTTCATTCTCCTGTTCGCCATGAAACATGTTCGAAAGCCATCCAATAGGAGGGTGATGTAGTTTTGACGGAGGGCTTGCCTGTCAGCGGCAGGTCTAGGCACTTGTGCTCCCCTTTCATCGCGAGAACGGGCAAACCTGTTAGCCGCTAGCCTTCGACAGTTGCGTTTAACAAATAGCAGCTGCATCCATTTGAGCAGGGTAACCGTCATACTGTAAAAGGGAAATAGGTGGCATGGACCGAACCCACTAAGGCCAAGCGAGGTGTTCCGTGCGAAGCTCGCGTGGACGATATGCGAAACAGTTTTTTGTTCACCGTTTCACCCGGCGCGGACGTGGATGTGTGACCCAAACATGGGCGGAACTGAGAGTTGCCCGGGGCGGCCTACATCAAGTTGTCAAAGATTGCAGCCCGAGAGGATTGCTTGGTGGAAGTTGAAGATGTTGCTGGTTTGGTGGCAACTGTGAATTGGCTGCAGCTCGCGACTGATGCGCGCACCGACCCGGGAAGAGAAAAGAGCGTCAAAGAGGCGTGTCGCAGGGCAGTGGTTAACCAAAGGTGTGTGACAGCACAAGTCTTTGACTTGGATGCCAGTTGGTTGCTCCATGCTCAGAGGAAATCCATCGCACAATTATGCTGATTGCATAGCACCAGGAGCTGAGGACATCATATTTTACGGAGTTTCGTTCATTTAAAAAGACCACCCACGCTGAACACTGGATGAAACACATATACATAACTAAGCAGTCTTGATGTCCAGACAGAGACTACCATCACTATCAGGACACGACGGGCAACTCCGTTTTAGGACGGACATCCACACCCGAAGTTCAGCCGACTCACACCGACAGCATCACTGACTTGGCCCTGTGGTGTTTGCAGGGCGCCGATGGACCGATGGACTGGACATGACGAAGCGCAGGCGCTGAGAGCAGTGCTCTCCACCGAGGGCTGACGGTGAGGGTTAGCCGCAGACTCGGGCGTCGCTTGCCAGAAACAGGTCGAAGCTCCGAAATTCCTGCTGTTTGAAGGTGTCACATCAATTCATAGGGAGTGGGTGTGATGTGTTCGTATCTGATGGTGTGGGCCTGAATATGTATCAGACCAGGCCCCTATGATCAATTATGAAGCGTATGAAGAGACACCTTCCTTTTAGCTGCTTCACGATGAGCCTCATGTGGCAGTTTCCCCTTCATAATGGAGTAGATGCCACTGGCTGACGGTAGAACACAAATACACCCGCCTTCAAGAATTGTGTGTTTTACAGTTGAGGTGCGTATAACTTGAGCTTCAAGATCAGGCTCAGGATTGATATACGCAGACATACGGTACCCGGGCAAATCAGTCACGTGAATGACGACTGCAGCAAAAAGCAAAAAGCACTGCGCGAAGGCAATTGGGATTTGATACAGGAAGCGCTCAAACGAGTTGCATATGTGCCGGGATCCAAAGGATAGAGAGCGTCTGGGGTCATTTCACCGATGTCACACCTGGCTGCAATGCCTCGCAGGCTCCAAATTGGAGACTGATGAGGGCACCTGGTTGACTGGAAAGTTCAGAAGACTAGTGCATTGTAGAGTTGCTGGTGAAGCAAAACAAAAACCAAGCCCTCTTGAGATGTTTGATCATGTTGTACCCAGGTAATTAGGGGGGAATTGTATTCACATTTCGTTCAACATGTGTTTTCTTCTAGCTCCATGGCCACCACGTTTTTGGCGGATCCACACCCGGTCTCCGTTCACCAAGGGGGTGGGGCTGCCCGCCTCCCATTCGTGCTGCCAGGTGAGCACTATGACGGCCACAGGCAGCCGCGGGCCGCGTCGAGCTACCCAAAAGCTCCCATGGATGGAATGATAGCAATATAGCCTTCCAAGACCATGAAATGAAAGGTTGACCTGGTTTCATGTTTCAATTAGTTAAATAGTCTAAAATCCCTTGAGCTACGTAGTATAATGATATATTGTTTATAAGAACCAGTAAGTCAATGGTTGGAAGCCTTGGGTATATTAACATATACGTATACATAAGCCTGGATGGATGGATTGAAGGGCCAATGGAGCTACATGGATTGATTATGGTTGGGGGGAACCAACTACCACGGCCAGCGGACCATCCGAAGAATGGGAGCTGGATGGTGGGGACTCGGCGCTGTTTGCAGGAACCTTTGACGACCCCTTGGGAAGAGGAACCATGAACGCCACCTGCCATGTCGTTTCTCACTGTACGGGCCAGGGGCCTCCCTAGTCGGTCTTTTGTGTGCACAAGATAGTTTAAGTGCTGAAAGTGCCCTTGCATGATGCGCGTGTAATTACTGGCTTGGCAAGCAAGACATTGCAAAAGGGCTATGATAGTTTTTGAAGGTGGCCTGTCATGTGTGGCTTTTGGGATCAAGTCTTGAAAATGGTAAGAGAATCATGGAAGGGAGCATGATCATCTGCAATATTTATACAGTCAGGCAGATTCGCAAGCAGAGCCAGCTCGAGCTACAGCTATTAAGGTGTCAGACTTTGGAGCAGACAATCGTACGGCTGGATGAACACTTCGACCTTACCCATTTTCTTTGCAAGTCAAGTGTGTCCATGGACGTCTTAACAGAGAACCCTGTTTCATCTATGTTTGTTTGGTCCCTGTGGAGGAGTCTTGGACCAAACCGCCATGGCCCAGCAACACTTAGAGCTTCCAGGCAGCCAAAGCAGTTTCCAGGGTGTGGGCGGAAACCTCGAAGGGACACACAGTTCTCCTCAAGTTAGCCTCGAAGGAGACATGTTACACTCAGCCGGTCTAAGACTATTTGGATTGTCCGCTAATTTGTTTAGCTTTGTTTCCGGGCACTTTTTGTTGAGGAACTGTCCGCTCAGCTCGCCCTATGCATTGCGATATATTGCGATCACGTTCATCATGTTCTTTGTCGCTTTTTCAATTCATGGCCTTTCTTGCAGCAGCTTACCCACGTTTTCTGGATGATCCGGGTAAAGGGTCTACAATATTGGTTTGTTGCGTGTGGGAACATCAATTTTTATGTCAACGGTCTCCGTCTCCTGCGCGTGGCTACGGCGAAGCACGCCCAGGAGACTGACATTGAATAACGCCTTGAAGCCATGGCGAACTTGCTCTATGGCAAGCAGTTGGCGAATGCTTTGGGGAAGGCGCCCGAAGCGTTTCAGCCAGGCTATCGCCCTAACCATCGCAGATGGCATCAGATTGGTAAGCCAGCACGTCTGAAAGGAACCAATCTTAAAACAACACAAAAACATGCGCTCCAAAGGTTGTAGACCGTTGAACATCTCACCCTCCAAGAAGTCGGGCTTTGCCAAATCCTTGTGCCGTGGTGAAGAGGGGTGTGCCAATTCCTCTGGGATGGGGAATGGCCTGGTTCCTTACGAAAAGTTTGCCTTTCCATGCAGAAGAAACCCATATTCCTCATCAGCCAAGAAGAGACTCCAAGCTACACTCCAATGTATACAGATTTGCCCGAAGATGTGCAGATCTGCCAAGTTGATCCAAATGGTTTGTTGTCAACCAAACACCACCATGGAGAAATTCTGCATGTTAGAAATCAGTGGTTTGATTTCCAAGACGCATCTAGGTGGAGAGTTGCTTTTCTCATTGGGATTCCAATTCTCGAAGCGACCGATCTTCCACCGCTTTGCCCGCTGAACTTCTCTCCAGGATGGCTCCAGTGACAGGGACCGACCTGGTTAGACGGTCGCCGGTGTTGGGGCGACCTGTCCTGAAGGGGCGACCCTGAGTATAGTGATAGTAGGACAGAGTATAGCTTGTATATACACTCCTGAAAACTAACATAGACCCCGACAATGGCCCCCTGGAAGATTGTTTTCCTCTACCAACCAGTGGTTTTCAGGGTCCATGTTAGTCTTCCAGGTTGTAGTGCTGGCAACAGCTTTATTCACCGATCACACCATATGATTGTAGGAGTTGCGTTGGGTTTCGTTTGCTTTGATTGGGAGATGGGCGGAGGTGGGTAGCTAGCGGGCCTAGTGGGCCACAGTTGGCTGAGCAAAGGCCAACAGCAATTGGAAGGTGGATTGGGACATGGAAGGTTCAATGGTCCGAACGATCCTGAGACGGAGACGGCCCGGCAGCCATGGACAGATTTATGGTTTCTTTTCAAACAGGTGTTTGACATGTTTGACACCTCTTTAAAGCCTGTGGCGATTGAAACACATTGCCCTGAGCTTGCGCTGGCTGTGTGCTACGTCTCCCAGTCACCACTATGCAAGCCTTTCTTCATTCTGCACTGGTACTTTCAATCAGTCTAGCGTTGCTCCAGGTCTAGTGATAGTGTCAAACAAGTCAGCTACACGGATCTACACGCAGCTAACTCCCAGCATCGGGCCGCCTCCGACCTGGAGCCCCTGGAGCCCGGTCTTTGCGCGTCCGGCCACGTATCGACCCGGCCAGGACTTCCGACGCGTATGGAAAGTGGCCATCCAGGCGCCGACCTGACCTGGGCGACTTCCGACCGGAGCTGGCGTGAATGGGATCGATTAAGGACACCATACTTCGGACTCTTTGTTCCGAAAGTGGACAGTGGATGACAGTGGTGATCCCTTCAAAACCATGAAATCCACCCACCAGAGTGGTTTTTCCATGTCCATGTGATGTGTTCGTGGGAGTGTAGTGGATGGGATGCCACAGCAACTCCGCCATCGCGGCTCCAAGTGCCTACGCTGTTCGGATGCATCGAAGACATCAAAGACGACCTAGACCAGGACCCTCCAAGGGGTGCCCTGTCTGGAAGCCTATAGGTAGTGTGGGGTAGTCCATTGGACACCCCTTGGAGGGTCCAGGGAGTATGTTCTTTTTTTTGGGGGCCTCGCTGCCACATGGGAATTCGGACAATGCTGCGACGTTTGGGAATTGAATATTGTGCATCATCAAGGATAACGGTACGTTAATTAGGGATCTTTTGAATTGCGTTGGTGTCTTTCATCTCCTTTTGAAAAGATGAAGGACCAAGAGTTCAATTCCAGGGGTTCAACAAGTTCGGACAAGTCTTTTGCCAAGCATCACTCAGAGAGACCAAACACCACCCCTTTGTGACTGGTGGTAGGTCTTTCTTAGTGCCAAGTGCATCCAAGTGCATCTTTGAAGTTGAACACATTTAGAGTTCCCAGCCGGACGGCTGCACATTTGAGCGGTGTTGGATCAGAGGACGTCACCATGGAAAAAGCACGCTGAAGCAACACCGCCATACTTGCAAGAGGTTAGGACATCACCTTTTTCACGTTGGTCATCATCAATCATCCTCATAACTCATACTGTAACTCATAACTCATATATAGATCTATGATTCCGATGACCCCTAAAGTGGGCGCACACCACGGGGAGTCGGTCGTGAGTCGTCGGTCGCGAGCTTCGAGGCGGTCATCGCCATGCTGCGCTTCAAAAGTGGACTCCAGAAGTGGACCCTGCGAAGCGATCCCCGCCGCTCGGGCCTGCGCGATCCGCCCGTGCCGCGGGCGGTGCCGGCGGAGGACGGCGGGGGGGTTTCGCGCCGTGTTTTCTCCGGTGGGCCGCGGGGTGGAAAACCGGTGGGGTTCGGTCCGCCGGTGGGGCGCTTCAATGGTTTTGAGTATGGACAGTAAATCGGAGGATTTATGTTTTGTGGAAACTAACAGTCACAGGGTTGCATGAAAAAAAGGTTGGAGACTTGAGGGAAGAGAAATGAGAAATGTATGAACTTCCATGACCTCTTGCGTGTCGGAGCAAAAAACTGAGAGATGGAGTGCCACCGCTGAGGTTCCAAGAATGCGGTCGTGGACCACACTTTGAGAGGCCAGCGCCGAGACCGAGACATTCCCTACCCAGACACGAACCATGGGACTGCCATACTGCCGAGAAACGGCCAGGGGTGGCTGACTGGGGGTCTGTCTGGGCGGCAGTCCCATGGAGCGTTTGGGCTAGGAATATCCAGGCAGTGTACCCAAACCCAATCGTAGCATATCGTAGCCAGGCAAGCAGTGCCATGGCAACCAGGACGTTGTTGGTGCAACAACCACCTAAGCATCGAAGAACCGAACGCCAGAGCGGGTTCCATTCAAGAGACTGTGTAAATGACGGCAATGGTCCTTCATGCTGGTTTCTACTAGCTTTCGTTATGCTTTGGTTCCCCCTTTCTCAGATAATAGTATGGCTTCCTTTGAGCTGGAGGTCTTTTCCGCTTTTCTGCGTGTTAGACAAGCACGGAAACTGATGCAGTTGTGGTAGAGGATCATCATGTTGAAACCTCCAAACGCTGCACAGAACAATCACTCTAGGGCTTCTTGGCTGGAAACGAAAAACATAGAGTATCCGTCTCCATCTAGATTATGTTCCATTCTGTTCCCAGAAGTTAGAACAGCTGGAGAAGGCATGGCAGCCAGGGTTGATGCTCCATGTTCTTCCAAGACCGAAATCCCTTAAAGCCTCCCCGCCCAAACTCGCAAACCGCTTCAGCAAAGGAATGCCCTCCCTCCAAATCCCTCCAACAAACATGGTTACGTGGAATATGGCCTCTTGGAAGACTGTTTTCCTCTGCGTTAGCAGATGGAAGTCAGCCTGGAAGACTGTTGTCCTCTACAAACCGGGGTTTTTACTGTTTTCCTCTACAAACCGGTGGTTGTCCACTTCCATGATTATTTTTTCCAAGGCACTCCGCCGCTTTTCCACCCACCCCGCAGCGGCCAGGCTTTTACACCCTGCCACCCACCCCGCTGCGGCGGTTGCAGAAGGAGTTGCCACCGGACACCGTGGAGTTCCTGGGCTCCGAGGGTGGAGGTTCCGGTGCCACTGGGCTCCTTCGTGGGCCTTGGAGTTGAATGGAACCCATGCACTCTATGGGGCTGCCATATGAGCATCCGACCAAATGGTTGGTTATATATAAGAGACCGTCCAAGGTGCTTTTGAGAGGTGAAGAAAATTCTTGTCAACTGATAGGACGACCCAGCACGGATACCCCTATATATACCTACCAAGATTGTTTAGGTTGGCATTGGTACTTTGATGGTTGTGCATTGGAATTGAAGGTGCTTTTCGATAGGGGCAGTTCTCTGAACCTGAGTGTGTTATATAGTAAGGCTTAGTAAGGGCTATCACACCATTGTCAAGTGAGTCCGCCGTGCTGAAAACAAATGTATTGCCTTGAGTCTTTGGAAGCTTGTGGATCGTGAGGGAGCTCGCACGGACAGCTCAACCGATACTAACTAACCGATACCATTGTTTGCAGGTTTACAATCTTTGGTGCGCCTTGCCCCCTTTGATCATTGCGGGTGCCCACGCAGGTCTCTCATGGTTATACAGCTTGCCAGAGGCTGAGAAGCAGACATGGATACAAGGCCTACCAACAAGCACTGACTGAAAACGCAGCAGGCACAGGTTCAACAAACGCACACACTGCAGAGAGCACACCAAGAACCTAGCCACAGCCCTGCTGTTTGCTTCCAAAGCCTCTCACGTGGTATTGATATAGCTTCAGGCCCCGAACTGGAAACACAACTACACAATAATCAAAGTGCAACATGGACATGGACAACCGATACTTCACAAATGACACCATCATGACATTACACTTCAAATGCCCAAATCCTCACAACCGATAGGGGACGACCCAGTCTGGCATATGGCATATTGGATGAAGAGATACTTTTGTCCGCACCTCATATAGACCCCCCACACCACCTCAACTGATCAGCAAATATGGCAGTCCCGTGGAGTGTTTGGGAATGGTCGAAGAATTGGATCATTGATGACCCGAGCCGTAGCCACCGATCTGCACGAGATGCAGAACATTGCAGAACACGTCTTCTTCCTCACGAGGGGGATCCACTCTGCAACAAATGCGGGACAGGTAAGGAAGGAAGCTCAGAGACCGCACATGGAGCCCGCACAGGGTGATCATGAAGCCTTCCACCCAGTCTTGGCACCCGGAATGAGCAGCAGCCACAGAAATAACCTGACAGCCGTTCTTTGGGGCGGCGGGCCGGTTTCTTTCACCAGATCCTTGGAATGGGGGGAACGTTCCAGCCAGCCAGCCGCGCTCTCTTCAGGCTGGTGCTGCATGGCCTGAAGGGTGAACTCTTGATGGGGCAGCCTGGTGCTGTTTGGATCTGTGCAGATGCTGTTGGAAATTCGTGATCATTATGTTGGGGGAGTGGGTCGGTCTCCAAAAAGTAGCGACAAGTAGGGTAGGAGAGGGGATGGGGATTGGGGCCTTCTAACTGCCATGGCGTGTTTCAGCGTTAAAATCATGCCATCTAGAACTCCCCCCCCACTGTTTACTTGGGGCAAAACGACCCAACTCGCCTGGACTCCAGTGTGGAGACTGAGATTGACCAAGAAGTGCGTAAGAAAGACGGCTTTTTCGGGAGGCCCCCGCTCCTCTCCGATCACATTCCTACACCAAATCTGGACGTACGTTCCTACCATAGGAGCCACTTCTTACACCCTGGAAGACTAACATTGACCCTGAAAACCACTGCACCATGGTTGGTATTCCAGGGGCCATTGTCAGGGTCTATGTTAGTTTTCGGGAGTGTTTATGTTCCCTCTTCCTCGCGAGCCACGAGGTTCCCACACCCAGTCCCAGACTGACATGGTCCCTGAAACATGCGCCGTGGAAGGCTATTTCCTCTACAACCCAGTGGTTTTGAGAGTCCATGTTAATTTGCAGGAGGATATATCTATATAATATATAACATGTATATATATAATATATATAACATGTATATATATATATATAAAAGTCAATTTCGCTGCAATCAGGAGTTAACTCAAAACATTCAGGAGTTAGCCTTTTTTAATGTATTTTTTTGTTTGGTTTCTCGGGTCACTTTCACTCGCCACTAACTCCCCACCACGCACCTTTTTTCATCCGCTGTCCGGTTGATTGTGCTTGTGCTCAAAATTTATCAAACGAGTCTCACCACCTGGTTTGGTGAGAGCTTCAATTCAGATCGAAGAAACCACAGTGGTTTTCCTTAGGTAGGAGATGGGCACATGCTAAGATCCCTTGCTCCTTCAGAATGAATGCATGGCAGTTAGGTAGAAAATCCAGGAAAATCCATCCAAGGATCTTGGCGACACTTCCTGAGAGAAAGACCAAACTCAGAACAAGCATTGGAATGTTCAGAAACGGGCTCACTCCAAGACATTCCAAAACAACCTGCAAGCATGCAGACTAGAATCACTTGCTTCTTTGCGGTAACAAACTCGCCATACTTTCTCTAGAGCTCTGCTAGCTTCCAGTTCCTTGGCAGTGCTATGGCAGTGATGGCAATGGAGAAGTGGGTAAGGACGGCCGAGACAAAAAACTGGGAAGAATGCCGAAACAGAAACATGGTATCTAGCCCAGGGTCAGGGAATGTGAATGCAGAGGCGACGTTTGTATACTTGTAGCCCGACACCGCGCTATAGGCAAAAATCTGTGGATTTGGCTTCGGCTTGATGATATACTGGGATCCACCTGCAGTCAAATCTTACTTTAGACTGTCAAAGACCTTGTAGTAACTACTAGGCTGAAAACAACCTCTTGCCTCCACCGGCTACTGGGGCCTTCATCTCGTGGCTGTTGATTGTGGCGTCGGTGATTCCTTGATCTTCGAACTCATGGAACAGTGCGCGCCACGAGCAGCGCTCGGAGTCCGAAGTCCCCTTGGACTTCTCATCAGAAATCTCAAGCACTACATGTGACTGGTCGTTTGTCCAAGTAATCAAGCAGGTCCTTGCGAGCTCACCTGCCATGCAATGAAGGCAAATGAGTGCAAGGGGTTTTAAGGGGCAAAGGGTTCAATGGAGGTAGGCTAGCCGTGGCTTACAGATTCCGTGGCATGGAGCAAACTTCACATCCAGCTGAATACATTTTTCTCGTCGGCCTTGTCGGTGATGCTCTTTCCCCCGAGCTAAAGATTGTGGGTAAGGGTGCCCCTACCAGTCACAAGACCCAGAACCAAAAGCAAAGGAATCCAAAACGATGAACGATCACCCTATAATTCTTTGGAGCTAGACTGAATTGGATTGGGAACCTGGGTCTTGTAGAATCCCATCAGCCTTTGAAACACGCTGCAAACAAAATCAGACTAGTCTTCATTTGACTCGTTTTCAGAACCCTGATTCTCAAGGCCCTCGCTCTCAGAACTCCCGTTCTCAGAGTCGTTGTTCTCAGAACCCTTGTTCTCAGAACCTTTGTTCTCAGAACCCTTGGAAGCAGCAGCATCCTGCGCAGGAGATGGAAGCTTTTGCTCCACTTCCTGCTCCTTCTCGTCTGATTTCTCAGACTTGCGAAGGGGTGGAACCAATCGACGCCGGGAAAGCTCATGATGAGGCATTGACTTGAAGGCTGCCACCCTGTCAGGATGGTTCTTCCACCTTAGGGCACCAAGGGAGAGCTATTGCTTTGCATATGGTTAGATACTAGGGTTAGCTACTAGGGTTAGGTACTAGGGTTAGATACTAGGGTCATGGCAAAGCTTGCGCCATCCGAAGGATCTCAAGTTTTGATTTCTCCGGATACTCTTTTCGCAAGCGTTCCTTGGTCGTCTCCAAGTGGTTCCAGTATGTGTCACGTAGCCCAACTCGCCCTGCGCATCCAGGTTTGGCCTGCAAAAAGTAAAGGGCTCAAACATTGAGGATAAAGTGACAGAGTAGCCTTGCCTTTTTTGCCTTAGCTTCACTTGTTGTGTCCTTGTCTTCCTCCTGCTTCTCTTCCTTCTGATTGTCTTCCTCCTGGATTCTTCGCTTCTGATGTCTCCTTCTTGTCTTACCAGCCGTTGCCTTCTCGCTGGTTTCCTTGTTGCCATCAGCACCATCCTTGTGGTCGTCAGCGCCATCGTTGTTGTCATCAGCGCCATGCTCCTTTGCCAGCTGCTCATCACCTTTTGTCTTGTTGCCATGCCCTCCTTTGCTCCTGCTCTTCTTTGTTGGGAGCCTTTTGTCCTCCTGCTCTTTGTTTTCCTTTCCTCCTGTCTCCTTCTCCTCACAATCATCGCTCTTCAAGGCTTCTTCATGTTTCTTCTCTTTTGTGTTCATCTTCTGCTCTTCAGAAGCTGGTTGTCCTCCGCCCAGTCCTTCCTCCTTGTGCATCGCGTCGTTGTTTCCTTGTTGATTTTTGTTTGTATTCTTGTCCTTCCCTGCACGGTCACCATCTCGACCTTTTCCATTGTCATGGTCTTCGTTTTTCTTGACCTCCTTGCGTTTCTTCTTCTGTGTCGTCTCCTTCACTTCACTTGCATCATCTTTCTTGCTGTCATCGCGACTGCCTGTTTCTTCACCTGATTCAGCTTTTCTTTTGCTCACCTTACTCCTCAACGATTCCTCGAACTCTTTTGCTCTCCTTAACCTCTTCTGTGCTTTCTCTTCCTCAATCTCAATCTCCTTTTGTCGTGCCACATCTTCCTTTTTGATATCCTCCAAGTTCTCAATTCTTTCCTGCTTGATCTCCTTCGGACCCTTCTTTGCATCCTTTGCCAGTGTCTCATCATCCTTCTGATCATCGTCATCCTTTTCCTCACTGAACTCTGGCTCAAGGGCTTTGACAACGGGCTCCTTGACGGTATTCGGTTTGCCACTGACAGCGCGTTTGATAAAAGCTGCACGAGCAGCAGGACCTGTGAGCTCCATTTTGTTTTGGTCGTGTCTCCCTCGACCCTTTTTTTTCTGCTCTTCATTCTTTTCCTCCTGATCTTTCTTCTTTGGCTTCTGATCTTTCTTCTTTGGCTCCTGCTCTTTGGCGTTCCTTGTCTTCTCCATCTCCTCTTGAGCCTGCTTCTTCTTTCCCTGCCTGCCTGTCGTATTCTCCTTTGGTTTCTGTGAAGCTTCCACTTCATCTCCTGAACTCTCGGGCAAGTCTTCATACTCTTCCGACAATGGCTCCTCAGAATCCAAAGAGTTTGATACTTCATCAGCTTTCTTTGACTTCTTGCTTTTTGCTTTCCCTTTCCCTTTTCCTTTTGTCTTCCCAGCTTTGTTGACTTTCTTGGTGTCTTCTTTGGCCGCTTTGGCATCCGCCTTCTCTTTCTTCTTTGCTGCTTTGCTTTCCTTCTTGGCTTCATCAATAGATTCCAGGAGGTTCTCACGCTTTTCATTGCTCATCATCGGATTGTTGATTTCATTGCTCCCCAGAAGGCTCATCGGAACACCTCCAGGTGGTGGCATCTTCTTCTTCGCGCTGTCGTCATCCTGGCTGTCGGCTTCCTGAGTATCTTCTTCCTGAGTTTCAGGTTCCTGAGTGCTAACATTCTCCACTTTCTTCTCCAGGTCTTTCTTCTCCTGCTTTTTCTCCTCTTGGTATTGTTCGTCCTGGTCTTGCTTCTTCTGGTCGCTCAACTTGTTTTTCGCCGCACGGTATTCCTCCTCATGGTCTTTCTTCTCATGGTCTTTCTTCAAGCCTTCCCTTGGTTCTGTTCCACTGCCCTTCACTTCTTCCTTTCCAGGCGATTGATATGTGGATGATGGGTAGGGTCACTGGTGCTTTGGCCAAAAGTTCAAAGAAGACGATCATATTTTTTGTTCAACAAATAATTATGCTTCTTGCCTTCAAGGCTTTCTCAGTAGACGCGTTTGGAGGCGTGAACAAGACCTCAGCAGTGGCAGGGGTTTACAATATAAGAGACTTTAAAACAAATATGGTTTGAGACTTCGGCTGGTCTGGATGAGGGGGTCAGGAGCGTGGATGGACTCTCATCAGCCATCTTCTGGAAGTCCTGCAAAAGAAGTGAGACTAGAGACTGGAAATCCCCTTAGGCATCATAACTTGTTCACATTCTCCTGCCTCTGAAAAGCCATGTGAGGCAAGTAGGGATTCCAACTTGCTCGTCATGAGGATGATTGCAACAACTTAAGTTAGCTATCTATATCCCACAGTCTCTTCAGGTTTGGGCCAGCTGCTGATTGGCAGATCCAAGTCTGATCTAAAGCAGAGCGACATGATCGATAAACAGTTCGAAATGCTGATGGAAGACAGATTGAACAAACATGTCAGGTGTACTATGTTTTTCTTGTAGTTTCATCTTCTGATACTTGTCTGGATTCAGGAACTTGCTAGGTCCATGGGCGATTTGGTAGTCCAGCGTTCCCAGCTCCACCTCTCCATGGGCAACCTCATAAATTGGCGGGGAGTGACAAGTTCAAAACACATGGAGGTGATAGGCTCGTATGTCGTAGATGTGTTTGTGCAAATGAGTTCAACAAATGAGTCTAGGAGCTAGGAAGAGCTTCCATTTTTGCCCATCGATGATTTCCGTGACGCTTCCGTCTCTCCGTTTCACTGGCATCAAATACAGTGATGTCCCTCCAATCCGTCCAGCCATCTTTGTTTCCACGATGTATGCGTCCAAGAGCTGGTCCAATGATTCCGGCTCGGTCCATGGGGGAAGCGGTTCACTCTCCGGTTCCGATGGTGCTGGAACCAAGGCCTCTTCGGGACCTGCAGCCACTCCAAACCTGATGGAGAGGCATGGGGCATGAATGGGCATGATTGGGCTTGGGGCGGTGAGTTGAAGTGCTTTTGAAAACTGTTTAACAGTTTGACCATGGAACGACGCATCGAGTAAAAAAGTTGAAGGTGAAAGGCATTGAAAGGCTCTTACAGACCAAAGAACTGCTTGTCAAAGTCTTTGAGGAGTTCTGCCCATTCATTGCGGTACACGATGTCGTCCACATATCTACCCCTGACGGCTGGGGGGATTGATACCTTGTACTGCTGCCACCCCTTCTTCCCAGGTGCCAAGTCATACTCAATCTTCACAAGGCGGACCGGGAAATTGGCCAGATCGATCTTCTGATTTGCAGGAGTTGGTGGTGGCCTAGGCTCATAGGGTCTGCACTTCCCAAAGGTAGGCGATCCGCTCTTCCACTCCTAGGACAGTAGCAGTTGCAAGGTTTGTGATCCACAGATGAACCCTTCAAACAGTCAGATGAACCCTTCAAAGAAATTTCAATCAAGTTTAGCACGTTGTGGTATAGACCCCCTGTCCTCCATCAGCTCAAGAGCTAGTGCCTTCTCGACAAACTCGCAGATGCCCAAGTTTTTGGTGAGGCTCAGGGTCTTGAAATGGAAAGGTGAATCAACTGAAATCTCCTTCCACTTCCTGGTTGCACGTTCCACCATCCCATCGTACGGTGTCAGATTCACCAACGCAATCGTATTGGTGTTCTCAGGGATCTGAGCTCGTGCCAAAACAGACTCTAGCAAGCTTCGCACCATCACATCTTGCACCAAAAACTGAGCACTTTCTTGGACATCTGATAGACTCCTGGACCATCAGGCGAAGAACGTTCTTTTGGAATAAGCTGTAATTCTACTCCTAAGTTGACTCATGACTTGCGGTATTGAATCTTGTTCAAAACAGTCACAGGATATCACATGATTTTGAGAGTCACCCTTGCCTATGTCCCTCTGACGCATGCGGAATGGCATCCTTGCTTGCCACTGGGACAATGTACGATGCTTCCGCTTGCCAGGGACACTCCGCTCTTGTCGCCCTGACCAAGGACTGTGGGCTGCATGTGGGAGACGGGATAAACTCTGTCATGAACGTTAATGATGAATGAAAGAATGAATGAATGAATGAATAATTGATGAATGAGTGTCAGTCTACCATACAGTGGGTGTTTTTTTCTTGACAGAGAAGCCTGTCACAAAACTGTTCAAGATTGCACCAGTCCTGTCTTGCAAAAGTTGGCAAGCCAAGAACCAGTTGCCATCCTCACTTTTGACACAGGAATCATCGAACAGCAACCAGCCATTAAAGTATAGTGGAACTTTCCGTGCGCGGGGTGGCTGCTGGCACCTCACCGCCATTGACTCCGAGTAGAGGCCACGGGCATCAAATTTGTCTTCCCAGCGTCTGAGCAGGCATGTGTAGCGTTGGACCGACGTTGGAGAAATGTCTAGGGAACTTAAAAGTTAAATGTCCAAGCTTAAATGTTTCGTTGAAAGCAACCATTTTTTGCAAACCTGGCCTCAACTCTCCTCTGTAGCCATTACACACCTTCTCGGAGCATAGCCATGGAGCCACCACAATTGCCACGGATGCATGGGGCCGTTTGGCCAAACCAGCGCTGAGCAATTCTGAAAATTCGTTCAGCTCTTGATTGCTGCATCTTCCGCATTTCATCAGATCAGCATAGATGATGGTGGGTGTGTCCGGAAATCTTGACAGGAACTGCAGGGCACAAGGTTTAAACATGCCAAGTCAGGTATACATTTGATTGCAAACAAACTGTATAACCGAGTTTTCCCCAAACACCGGGCCCTGTCCATCAAGGATTGCTGGTCCTTCACGCTGCCGCTGCCAAGAGCTATGTTGGTGGCCATATATTCCGAAACCAACCCAGCTCCGATGGTATTCTGGTGCCGCAAGTGTAGGACACGCTCTGTCCGAGCAGTTTGATCGCACTTGTTCACTTCCTTGACAAGCTGTCCAATTTGTGCACAATCCCTGGCTAAAGCAATGCAGTCTGCATCAAACTGAGCTTTGCGAGACTCCTTTGTGAGGTTGTCGACCTCTGAATCCGCTGCCGCCACTTTGGTGGCCACGGTCTCTGTGGGCTTTGGTGCATGCTCTTTCCACATGCTCGTGTCTTCTATCTTGAAGTGTGGGTCCATGCAAGTCAAGTAGTCCTCTGCTTCAGAGTTGTAGTCCCTTACAGGGTGACCCCGCCCGGTGGAAGGTACAAAAAGACACCTAAGAACTCATCTAAGTAGCGCTTTTTTGGTTATCAAACATTATGACTTCAAAGAAAAAACAAGTTAAACGTTCCGAGCCACCCCTCAACGCAGCGCAGTACAATGGAGCGCACAACTTCATCAGAAAAGATGCGGCCCCCGTGATCATCAGTGACTACTGACATGTGCACCGCCATGGAACTGAGGAAAATCATCCGCTCACATTCAATCCCCCACTCTTGTATGTTCAACCTCGATGATGCTGATCGCGCTCCGCGGCGGCTTGCAAGATCGTGCAAAAACAGGACCCGTTGTACAAAGACACATTGCTTTTCAGGGGTGACCCGGAGCAGCTCGGTCCAGATGTGACTCTTCTTGGAATTTGGGTCCCGGCTCATCCCACCAACCAACCAGCGAATGTCCAGGAGCAACTGGTTTGTGAAGGCTGCAGGGCCGGAGCAATCATGTAGAAACATGCCTTTCTAGCCGCATGACTAGGATGATGTTCAAAGTATGGTTGGTTTCCATGTAGTACAGCCGTTTAACTTATTTATTATATAAATAAGATATCATAAGCCTGAACCCACTACCTCCACTCTCAAGCCTGAATGCTCAAATTTGTACATGTGCAAGTGCTGCTCGATCAGCTCCCAGGAGTCATTGCCAACGCCAGCCTTGCTTCAGCAGGCTTCGAGTTCAACGGATTGGTTTGAAGAAGGTGATCCCTAAGACAGAAAGGGAGGGCCAGGGGTAAAGGGAACGGGATCAAATGAACACATTGAACTTTACTGTAAATACTAGGCAAGCTTCGCAAAAGCCATACAAGTAGAACGCCGCGTTGGAATCGATTTGAAAACGCTTTGAGTGTGCAATCATCTCGTAAGAGTTGTACTCACTGATGGCTTTGAAGAAGGCTTCTTTCACTTTGCCACCAAATTCTGCAGGCTCCTTGACCAGGGGGTTCAAGCATGATCAAACATGGCAACCTGCTGGGATTTACATGTCGGTGAGCTTATTGAAACTCGTGAACCAGCTAGATCCCTTGAAGCTAGTCCTTCGCCATGATCTCTGTCGCCCTTGACTTGAATATGAGAACCTTCTGTAGGATATTCTTTTTCTCCCGCTCAGATTGCTGCTCATGCACCGCCAGCCTCCTCCACAAGCAGTCGCTATGTGAGGCAACTATGAACTTCGACTTGATGAACTTGACGGAATCCAACCACCTGCCCAGGAGCGTGCCAGGGACCCCAGAGCATCCCAAACATCAAAAGGGTCACCCTGAGGGGGTCGCAAACTGAGGACCTGCCAGGACGACGGTTTCGGTGAAACCATCACCCTGGACCTGATGCTTTGGGGCCTGGTGTGATACTATGGGGTCCACGTTTGATACTATGGGGTTCAAGTTTGATACTTTGGGATGCACTGTTGATACTTTGGGGAATAAGTTTGATACTTTGGGAACACAGTTTTGTACTTGGGAACCCTGTTCCAGGACGACGGTTTCAGTGAAACCATCACCCTGAGAGGTTGTGAAATCTGAGACTCCCCAGGGCGACCCTTTTGATCAGGGGGAGTGCCGGGGAGTGCCTTATGAAGTCAATTTGCATCTCTTCAGTCATGCTGTCTCGGAGTTTCAAGTAGGTCCAGAGGAGGCCAAATAGCAGCATAGAGATTCTGCCCATTCCTTTGACAAGGCCCACCGAACCAAAACTGTAGGGTGTATCCGGGTCGCTTTCAGCAGCTGGTTGTACTTCGACAATCTCTCTCCACGATTCATACCCCCGAAACCAAATGTCTTTCCCTGTAGCTAGCCAGCTGTGAAGAAGAGGCAAGCCGTCCACGGGACGCGTGTAGAGAAACGCCAACAAAGGAATGCTGACGAGCTCATCGCTTGCAGCCTCAGACAGAAGTCGTTCAACTAAGTTTCTGTACATCATAGGCTTACTTAAGTTGGCCACTCAGACTCTACGACTGCCAAAGAGCTGGAAATTTGAAACGTCTGGGATCTGGAAAGCTGGAGTCTTGTTCCTGAAGCCACGTCAGCATGGGTTCCAGGAGGTCCTGTTTCCAAGCATCCAGTAGCCATTCCACTGGATGTGGATCCTCCCCGACAATGGTGTTCCTGAAGGCGAAGGCATCAAGTTCATTTGAAACGGGATGTCGGAAACCTGTTCACCCAAACCCCTTTGAAGATGACTGGTAACCAAGGGTTCATCCTCCCCACCTTCAGCCTAGTTTCTTCGCATCATTGTAGATTTTCCCGGCCCATGAACTACTTGCTTTAAGTTCTTTCGAGGATTTCTGGTCAGCCGAGGCTGAAGCACAGGGCCTTTTGCCCATCGGTGGAGCTACAGGACTGGCGGCCGGGATGGCCTCTCATCCAAACTCCTTGAACAAGACATCAAAAAGTAATTGTTCACTTCTCATTGTTCAATTCAATACTTTGCAATTAGAGCAGTTTCAGTTTCAGCAAGCTCTTAGTCTACCAGTAGCTGGCAATAAAGCAGGGCGGTCTCATGTTTTGGCATGTCACACGTTCATTTACACGTCAAGCCTCAAGGCCAATTACCAAACAAACAATCATTCTTGAGTGCATGGTTCATCTATTGAATTTCACTTCAGACCAACTTTAAGTTGATAATGGCGGTCAACAAAAGAGCCGCCACACAAGGAACTGACATTGTGTTGCCTGCCATTCGGCAAGCATGACTTTCCGGCATATGTTCAAGCTCCACGATTGGAGCCTTACATTTCCTGGCATGCTCGGAGCAAGTCGGCAATATGTGCGTTGCGACCATCTCTTGCGCGGACAGGAACCTTTTGTGTGCCTGGCGACGCAGTTGGTCGAGATTGGTTTGCTACTCAGTGAGGTGGAGTGAGAAACAAAACTTGAAAGGAAATCAAACTCACAGGACCCATCCTTGGAGTATATGAGTGAACTGTTGGTTGTCAGCGTCTGGAGGGACCCATCTTGCAGTTCACCCCGTCCCCGCTCGTTGGCACAGTACTGGGTAAGGTCCGGATATTGCACCCAGCCCTTGAGCTTCTCATAATCGCTTAGATTGCGTGCCTGAGAAGAAAGCCAAACAAATCAAGAGAGACTGGGACTGGGTTCCATAATTGTTCTCAACCCTCAAATTACTTGACTGAGCTGGGGTACCTGGGCATGAGTCAAGACTGCTGCGGGCAACTTCCTCCAGAAGAAATCGCCAGCCTTTCCAACAGCCCTGGCACCCAGTATGTGCATGACCTCTTCGATGGAAATGCCTCCCTCGCGCCACTGGACCCTTTTGGTATCCCATGCCAAAATCCAGATGCGTGTTCTCCCAGCAGGTACACCTAGATGTCTTGGGTCGATAGTCACGCTTCGGAAGTCCCAGTGTTTGGGTAGATGGTCACGAGCTACTTCAGTCCCATACTCCGGAACATTCTCCACCAACATGACATCTGCCGTTCTGGGGATCTCCTTGTAGAATGCCCGGTGGGTGGAAAACACTGGGTCAGCTTGACGGCGTTGCTTACCCATTTTGCTGAAGCTCACACAAACCGGTCCTCACAGTTGTTTGCGGCCACCGTCAATTGACATGAAGGACAAACGACATGAAGGACAAATTACCTGAAGCTTTGGCACAAGCTTTGTCACTGAGGCCAGTTCCTGCCACATTGACGTGGATTCCTTGGGCCGTTGAGGTGAGGTGGACTCAGTTGATATTGAACCTAGCATCCAAAGCAACCCCCAAAACAAATAGATAACTGATTATGATTCGAAGAGTCTTTTTTTCTTCAAGTGGTGCTTTCTGACTCTGCAATATTTGGAGTGTGTCGTGCAATACTGCTTCTCTGCGGTTGAATCGAACTTGGTGATGTCCGCCACATTGCAAGGACTACCATAAGCCTGACATAGAACCTTTTGGCAGCTAGGATCAATCTCACAAGTGAATTCATGCAAGACATGTGGAACTGCCCTTGGCTCTTTCTGAGGCAAATGAACGGCCAGAAAGTGTTTGGCCGCCGACTGCAGGCTCATCACTGCCTGACAGCTTGCCGTTCAACACATGTTGAAGCGTGGGAGTCGCCATTCAATTTAAAGAGAACTTTAGGCAGTCAGTGTGGAAGACTTTTTAAGGGACTTAGACCCCGGCTGATTCTGGAGCACCAATCCCACTAAATGCAGATGAAAAAGTCCACGACCAGGTCCACAAACGCTTAGCCAAAAACTCGTTACCCAGTCGCTGCCCCAAGCGCTTCAGGAACAAATCCGGCCAAGAAAAAGCTTCACTTAAAGAGGCAAAGCCAGCCGGGTGTGAAGGCCCAGGGGCCGGCACTGTGGTCTTCGGGTAGTACTTTTCCTTGGGTTGCCTGCATCAAGAGAAGTAGCCAGTTAGAGGTCACTGATTTACAGTAAGAAGCTCAAGACTCAAGAGTAACAAAACTCGTCAGTCAGTCAGTGCCTTTTCAAGTGTGTCTTCCTAATAGTAGGAGTACCCCCATTTGTCCTTCAATGTCCAAAGTTTGATTGCCTTCAAAAAACAAGGTGTCATGCTGCATCGCATTAAACTAGTATCCAGTCCTCAAATCGTCACTCTTCTTGGTAAGTGCACGAACAGCATCTTTGAGCTTGAGACATGGCATTAGGAATACCTGGCCACCCTGAAAACTACCGGTTCGGGCCTGCACAACAGAGAAAGATAAAGGTTAACTCAATGTAGCAGGTGAACCGCAGCATGCTGAGAATCATGCTTCACAAAGCTGGGTTGCGTCATTTTCCTTTCAATTCAGTGAGTGCAATCACTCAATGAGAGATCCCTCCTCCCCAAGTATTTACTTAGCCCAGAGTGGACTGAACCTATTTAATTTGAATTGCATATCAAGCGGTCGACTCAGCCTTCCTGACGGAAGCGCTTCGATCCATTGCTGTCCTGCGCAACGAAGCAGGTTCACAGACACAAGTTACAGGCTAGTCCAATGGTATTTGGTGTCAACGCTCTTGGTTCACTTTCATTTTCCAATCATTTCACAATGTTGTTAGGCAACAAAAGCGACGAGTAAGACATATTATATAGGCCTCATCCAAGAGATGCCTTTTCTTTCCACCAGCCTGACAGCAAGCTGCCTAAAACCTTTCACTGGACCCTCTAAAACAATACTTAGCTTTTACTTGAGCTGGCTTGCTATGCGGCGAGGCGCAGTGCTACTATGCAACGATGACTTGCAATCAGGCCGGCTGAGTGTTTGACCTTGTGGGACATAGCATTGTCCTGGCGCTCGAGAATAGGTTCAATATGGTTCAATTATGTTCAACTCGCGTGAACTGCAAACTATGTTGAATAACTCTGTTGCAAACTATATATTCTAGCCTCTGAAGAGCTCAGCTGATCCAATACGACGACGGAGTCGAAGTCGATGCTGACCTGGTGCAAGTTAGGAGCCCAACAGGAACACTCTTAGAGGAGGGAAGTCGTGAGCGCCCCACCTGTTCTTCTGTTTCATGTGCACTTGAGATAGTAGGAAAGAGCTCCGGGGTGTCAACCTGGCGGTCATTCTGGGTGAAGTCATTAGCCCTGTGTACGAGTGAGCCTTGGCCTGTGTATCACGGAAAGTGTCAGGGAATGAGTCATCGATCACATACACCTGAGATTGGTAGTCCTCAAAGCTGACGATCGGGTCCTGAAAGACAAGTGTCGTTTGGATGTTTGTGAGAGGCATTGGAACACTGCAATAAGGTTGGAGCCTGAGCGTTCTGCCGCCTGCCAGTGGGTGGTGAGCGTATCCCAACAAAATCCATTTGTCGGAAGGGACCAGTCCTGGCCTGATCTTGTCATTTCCACGGGCAGGATGCGACATGCGTTACTGAGGACCCCCCCTCGGAAAAGGCTGTGAACCTTCCAAGGTGTTGAAGATTCTGACTGACAAATCCTGTCACTGGGACTTTGGTGCCAAGTGCTTCATCTTGCTTTCAGTGACAGTGTGGTCCAACCTTTTTCCACTCAACAAAGATTTACCCACGGCGAGGCAACTGAAACTCCGCTTGGAATCTCATTGTTGGAGCCACTCGGGCAAGGACTGTTGGGTTTCCCAAGACAATCTCATCCCGATCCCCCAAACTTTCAAACCATGGTAAGGGAACCAATGGGCCTGGGTCATGGTTCCGGGCCAAATCCACCAAGAATTCCGCTGCTCTTCCGCTGGAATCCCGAGGGAAGCGTGTAACTAAGACTTTGGCAAGATCTAAATATTCTTGAAGTTTCACCCTCTTCACTGGACGCAAAGGTCTGGGCACTGTCGGCCCTCCATGGAGAATCCGGTCCATCAGCTGATAGGGCATCGCCAGCAAAGCTTCCTGATTGCATTTGGTTTGCTGCAAGTCACTAAGTTCAGTGCAAAACAGAGTAGCGTGAGAGATCTACAGTGCAGTGTCCTGTGCTAGGCCATCATCAGCAGCATTCTTCTTCACTATGCAAATTACATCCATTTCATGCGATTGAAGAGCACCCCTTTTGTCGTCAGACTCGATTCGCAGATTCCGAGGGACATCTGCAGGGCATTAGCCAGCAAATTAGCTCACTAGTCATTACATATCACCACGAGGTCATCATTACATATCAATACATGTTCCCCTGCCTCTCCTGGCGAGGAATAAAAACCCATGAAGACCCGTTGAATCCGTTTTGAGGCCTCCCTTGTACGTCACCGGAACCTGCTCATACCTCATCAAGACAGAGCAAAAGAGAGCGGCTGAGAGGGCTGTCGTGGACGGGGGTTTGCACAAACCCTACAGGTTGAGCTGAGGGACCATCCCTTCCAATCACGGCAAGATGTCAAGTACTGGACATTAATGGATGCTGTGGGCCCAATCCATTGTCTGATGTTGATTCTGTCCAAGATCTTCTTGAGCTTCCTTGGGTTCACCAAATTCTATCCCCGAGGTCTAAGCTGTTTGGCGTTGTTTGGTAACATCAGAACTGTTGCTGGCAGGAATCGACACCACATCCATTGGGTCACAGAGCAAGTCCACATATCTGAAAGACTTTGCTAATAGACCATAGACTTGGTCTTAGTGAAGGCAGGCTGAGGGGCTTAGGCCTGAACTGTGGATCGTACAACACAAACATACACAAATCATTGCCATGCGTTAATATATATTCCAAGAACCTAATGCTCCGTGGGTGTGGCCCACCTTTCCGAAGAAATACCCAGCGAATCGCATTTTTGCTCGTCCAACTAGTGCGGCTAGATGTTTCAGGCACGGGTTGTTCTTGTTTTCGCGAACTGTGTTGTCAGCCTGAGCGCTCACAATCTACCAAAAGACAATGAAAGACACAGGCGCAGCTATCAGACGAATGGACGTTCCAAGGAACCCATATGCAGCATGCGCTTGGGAGTGGGCGGCCACATTTTTCGAAGGTCTGGACGGTGTCTTGTAGTACCCTTTGGAATGTTTCGATGACCAAAGAGCTGTCAGCAGCTACGCCAGGGTGGATCAGGAAAAGGTTGAGGGACACGCCATGGTTCCAAACACCATGCACTTTCATCCTGGGGCGCTGAAAGACGGATCCTTCCTTTGAGGATTGTACTATACGGTCTCTGGGCAGGCACCATTTGGACTTTGGACTGGTCCATCCCATCCTTATGCAAAATACAGCATAAAACAACCCATCGAAGCAGAACAACCCATACACAATCGTGCAGCCAAATCTCCCATACAAAACTCAATATATCGTTGTCGTTTTGCAATGGCGACTGTCCCTGCCAGAGACATTCTTCGACCCCACAACCCAACAACCCTGATCATAAACTCAATAATTGGCAACATGTCAACCTGGCCTGGAGATATTCCTCTAGCTTCCTGTCCTGTGAGACTTCTTGTAAGTGCAATTTGTAATCTCTCGCAGTGTCGAACCTGGATTGTGAATCCTGGGGCTGAAGAGAAAGAGATTACCGCGCATTAAACATGGCACTGACTGCATGAAACAATAGGCGAGAGTCGCGTGCTGCTTTAAAGGCCTCCTTCATGTCTAAGCATGTGTCGCACGTTGCGTGCGTGCTGGGTGGTAAAAATCGTAGCGTGTTTCGCCAGCAAGTTGAATAACGCCGCCAAAAGGTGGCGTAACTCAGTCATCACATAAGGTGCAAAAACAATTCATCACAAGCACACATCTTAAACGCAACTGGTCCACGACACTTCGCTGTGCGGCTCTCTCTGACAATACTCGTAGTAGAGCATTTTCACGCTCCCGGGTGGAAGAAATCGAACCGGAAGAGATTGGATGTGCTGCGCGGCATTCGACTCCACCCACCTTGTGCCATACATGTAAGGAAAGAAGTTACTTTACTGACTGTGAATCTCAAAGGAGTCTGGGCAAACCACGTGGAAAAGAACTGCTGTGAACCCAAGTAGTGAAGACGGAGCTCTTCATCGTCTTCTAAACGTTCCCCACTTGGTGCAAAAAAGTCTTCAACTCTCTCGCTGTCAGAGCTATCACAATCATCGCTGGAGTCATGGCCGGTCTCAAACGCAACTCTCATTTGGCTCCCACCACCAGCGCCTCTCTTGCGCCCAGCCCTCTGAAACCTGGGCAGGTGCAGTTCATCCCTCAGTAGTCATAGGGCCTTAGGGTGGAGGACTGAAAAATGGTTTTTGCTCACGAGGAACTTGTTGGGCAGCATTCCTGCTGCATCAAGGTATAAGCGCATCAAATACATATCTGTTCTCATTTGCTTCACTGGTGCTTTCTTCTTTGCCTTAACAGCGTGAAAATGCATGAAATTTGCCTCTTAAAGTTCTCTTTGCCTTAACAGCTGCCTAACAGTCTGACAAAATGCAATTGATCATCACCTCATACTAGATTTATTCGAGGCTGCAAGTCCAAAACATGAGAACCTCTTGTCCAACATGCCAGTGGATGCCCGCTGTAATCGATCTTCTCCGATTCCCAAAATAGTGGCCAAGCACTTGACAGAGATTTGCACCCCAAGCAAGTACCAGTTCTTGCGAGAAGACCGTCCAGCAGGACCATGAACCCAGTGAATCTTAGTTGTCAACTACCCTGCAACAGAACCCACAGGAATGCAACCAGTAACATTCAATTTGAATGTAGCCAACCAGTAAGTTTATTTCAGACAAGAAACATAAGCATCTTGAAGAGTTTTCTTGAGGCTCCAGAACATGACTAGGTACTGCATCAGTTCCCGAAAGAGGCGAGAAAACTTACGAAAACAATCGCCTTTGCACCTGCACCCTTGTTGAACAAGCCGTCCAACCCGAGATCGCGAAGATCCATTCTCATGCTGCCTGGGCGGAGATCAGCCAACAAAATGGACCCAAGACTGACTGACTGTTAGAAAATTTACAGGAAAAAGTGAGGCTGATAGGAGATCTGAGGTACTGTCTTCTGTCCGCTGGCAGGATTCTCATGCTACTCCTCTCTTTGGAATTGTAATTGGGCCTCTTCCGACTCTCTGGAGCAGGGGGGTTGTGTGCTGAATGAAGCACGTCCTGATCTTTGAACTCTACCAGGTTGTTCAAGTTGAACTTGATGTCATTGCCTTCTTGGGTTTCACTTTCTCTTTGAGAAAGCCGTCCCAAAAAAGCAGCCCTTGAGACAACTTCCTGACCTTTGTCAGGCTTTTCCAAATCCTCCCGCCCAGAAGCACTCGAGCCCTTCGCACATTGGGCTAAAAACCTCAGTGGAACATAGTAAGTAAGCCTTACAGCTCAATCATGATTCATGATCATCATAACTTCCAGCGACGACTCCATTGAGTTAAGTCACGCCAATCTTCGTTTGTCGCCGCTCATTGTGCCCACTTGGGCCAAAATGTAATGTGATAAGAGTCTTGCACAAGCTCATAAACCCTGGGCCTTTAATTAACATCAAAATACACCAACCCCTGAATGAAAAGCAATCACTATGGAATGTAAGGAAATAGACTTATAATATAATATATACATATTCCTTTCGCCTCTAGAGTGTTTCCTATGGTGGTCAAGCACGTGAGATCATTGATTGGGAGCGTCGACGGTCGACATTTGTCGTCTCCGGAGGGACTGAGTCGTGAGCGCCATTGAGCACTGAATGTGGATCCATCCATCTGTGGAAAAATCTATTGGAAAAGCATCCATGAACCTTGAAAAGAAGAATGCGGATCTATGTGTCAAGCACCAGGGAACCGGTGATGTTCGAACTCTCTTGGGTCCTCCGCCGTCCTCCGCGGGTTCGCTGCCCCCTTTCGGGTTCTGAGGCCCGACATCGTCTCCTTGAAGGTGACCGTGTCGCAAATCAAGAAGCGCCTGGAGGTGCACGCGCGCAACGAGGCCGGATGGGGGGCCGGGCAGCCCGGTCGCTGTGGAGCTTGGTGCAGTCGCGTGGAGCACGACTGCAGGTGGGAGGCGGTGTTCCCGCTGTTTGCTGGGGGCCACGGCCAGATCTTTAAAAGAACATTCAAGAACCCCAGGCCTCAATGCACTCCGTTACGTTGACCTCAAAAGGAAGAAGGAATGTTTGCTGGATTGTTCATCATGTTGCCATGCATCCTAACTCCCGATGCCAATCAAACTCTCGTCTCCAAGTGTTTGACTGGGAAAGGACATGATGACTGATGCGGTGACTTTGATCCCTCAGGCACTTTTGGTATTTTTTTGTTGGATGCTAGCCCCCCTGCGCAGAATCATGGAAGTGGAGCATAGGCCCCTGGAAGACCCTCTTCCTCTACTAAGGGGCTCTTGTGTCCACTTGCATGTTTGTTGGAGGGAGGGTAGATACGGTAGGTAATTCGATTAAAAGATACTAAAAACTCCCCCACATTGAGCTTCAAGACTGTCGACAAGTATGGATTGCAACTTGGAGGTTCGCGTTTACCCCGGAGAAAAAACAAGATGAAGACCAGTACGTCCACATGTCCACATGCACTGCATGTGGTGTGTCCAGTCCTTGTGGCGGCTCTTAATAGAGCATGGTTGAATAATGCGACTTGTACAGTAGCTGCGCAAGAAAAGCGAGTGAAGCCCCATATGGGAGCCCCCTATATGCTGCTACGTTTTGCGTTCCCTTTACCGTTTTACACCTCCAAGACGGAGCCGAAACCAGATCATTGCCCCTACCAACTACAAGCAAATCACTGGTCCTTTGAGAAGGTGAGCAGGGAGACTCTTTTGTGTAGGCTTGGAGGGTCCAAGTACCTTTTGACTAGGTATGTGGATCCATAGGGTCGCCACCCGTCTTGATTCTTAGGACACATCGTTTCTTTCATCACACTCGTTTCGTTGCTTCCTTCGGATTGCTCCAGCAGTTGCCAGGTGATCAAAGGCCGCTCCAGCCGTGCCTTGCAGCTCTATAGCTTTATCGCGCTGGGCGCGGTGCCATTGGCAGCAGAAGTTGCTTTTTGAGGGTGCCGCAAACATGCTGCAACCACAAGACATGCAGGTCAGGTTCTTGCGCTTCTTGTTTCACTCATTGGCTTGCCATACCTAGATTGTGCTTTCGGGGTTCACAACTGCGAACGGACATGAGACCTTATTGACCTTCTCAAGGGCGTCCTCCACAAAAACGGGACCATGTCCATCCATGGTTCCCATGTCTACACCAATGACCAGTCTGACATAGACATAGACTCTTGACGAACAAAACGCACCGATTTGGATGCACGAACTCGCGGACGGTAATCGACGCGCCCCCACACAATCCCTTGCCGGATGTTCCAGCGGGTACTGGTGGGATAGTGGAGTGAAACCACGAAGCCCTAGTAACGAAAGAGCCTTACCCGTCTAGGGGTGTCCCGCCACCCTACTTTGCCGAATGCAGATGTGACATACCAGTATGTAGAAAATATGCTTCGTGCAATGCCACACGACCCCCCATACCATACAGATATAATACCACCAGCACTCATACCGGGATGTCGTCTTGTGCATGGCCTGGCTTTTTAGAAATTCCTGAAGCCAAGAGAGATGCTTTTACCCAGCATGTCCGGTACGCTTTGTTCCGGGGAAAGCCATTCGACACAAGCCTCCTGAATTAGGTGCCTGCTTTGTTTGTGTATCCTCACAGATAGAATTAAGAATTCTTGAATCACCCATTTGGATTGCAAATTCTCTTCATATGAGAGGTCTATTCATCATGAGTCTACATTAGTGTAACAGCCAGATCGGAGTCACCTCAGGTTGGGGTTTTGGGGGCTTTGCAGCGCTGAACGCCCTCAGGTCGTGCACCTGCTGCACCAGCGTCGAGCGGTGGATGACATGGACGCCGATGCGGTCGAAGCGGAGTTCCCGGTGTCCTCAGTTGCTTAGATGTTGACTGCTGATGAATTCAACCTCCAAAGAGGTATGGTCATTCAGATTCCATATGGGAGGGTTTTTGAGTCATCAACAGTCCACAAATGCGATTATGAATGATTCTTTAGGCACCAGGAGTTACACATGGGTGGGCCTTGAAGTCAGTGGACACAGGGCACCCCTATCCTCCACTAAGCACCCAGACAGCCCAGACAGATGGAAGTTTTGGAAGCAGGCCGCGCACTGACTAAATATCCAATCCCTAGGGATCCAAGTACCTGCTCACAAGGTATTTGAACCCTCCCAGCCCAAACACCTTCTTCTCAGAAGGTACGACTGGATCCTTACAAAATGCATCGTGGTGCGAGTGAACACATCCAACTCATGAAACAACATCACGATCCAACGATCCTCATGAGAAGCCCATTCACTTCTCCAAGCTTCGACCCACCTCTCAGGGCAGCTCTTCGAAGATCGGGACGACGTCGTGACGGTTTGACCGGGTCGCCAGGAGACGCTGCAGATGTTATTCTTGGAGTCTGAGGATCAAGGCGGGACTTCTCCGGAGATCCGGAGCGATCCATCCCACGGTGAGAAACACTGCATGTATGCCGTAGATGATATGATGCCTACATTGGGGTGGGTTTGGATGGTTCTTGTTCGCCCCCCAAAACTTGACCAAACAATAGGGAAGCGCCGGGCAGGTTGGGGTCTCTCACGCGAAACTTCTGGGTCTCAGGCTGTGAGTGGACATGCACCGCCAGCCGCAAGAGTCAGAATATCAACGCAAGAGGTGCATGCAGAGCACAATCTTCCCCGCTCCTACCTGCTCTATTTCATACTTCTGATATCTTCTGATATACTTTGTAACAACTTTATATAAAGATCGGACCAGTGATCGGACCAATTAGAATATGGCTCCAGATTATGCCATGCTCGCACGTATGACTCACAATGAATCACCTAGTCAACTAGACATACCTAGCACTTCTGTTTTGGACTCAACCCGAAAACAACCCAAGTGACGCCAACCAGTGACACCTCCGCTTACTGCAGGTGAAGGCAGCTTCTCACCCGACACCATGGCGACCCTTGGCGAAGCAAACAACGAAGAAAACGCAGCCTTTTCCAAGAGAAAACACGGTTGTGATGAGATGTGATGAGTTGGGTCATATTCGACATAGGAATAAATATATACACATACGATATCACATGCATAATTAGTTCACGCGGGACACAAGCAGTAGCGACGGGACGAGAGAGGCCATGGTCGATTCCTTCATGTCCCTCCATCTCTCAATAGGACATAATGGGACCTGTTTATGTTTCTCCTTCACGTGCAGCATAAGTGGAAAGGCCTGGCATGTCGGCATGTATGACCATGGTCATTAATATAACTTGAACAGGTCGAGTGGAGTACCGAAAAACTGGGCGAAAGTGGCTGCAGTCCCTGCTGCAAGCTGCTGAGCTGCTGAAGCACAGCTGATCCGAACCATACCGTTGATGCAATCCATCCATCCCCTTCTCCAATTTGGGCAGACAATAATGGATCCCATCCTAGAGAGTGCCACCAGCCACCAGCCTAAGAAGCTCCATAGGATGCGTGAAGTTCAGTGGCAGTGTTCTGGCTGCGCAGCCCCCCAAGGCGAAGGTGAGCAACCAGATTTAGTCTCAAACTATCACGAGGTGAGCAAACCCAGTGGGTTGGAATGTGTGCCCCACCTGGTGGGAAAGAAGCCCATGTTGTTCTCCAACAGATGAGTGAACATGCCGTGAACATGCTGTGAGGAGATTGGCCAGCGTGGCTGCTAGCCTGCCCTCCACCCCAACACGCGGGGCGATCGCGGCAGAAAGTCGGGTTCTCAGCACCGGTCGATGTGTCGATCGTGGAGGGCCGTGGAGCGCAGAACCGGTTCTACTGCCCACTCCAGAAAGACGGTTTCGAGGAGCAAGACGCAGACTGAGCGATGCTCATGTTCAGTTTGTCCCAAGTATGCCAGAACATGCCAATAGGATACGCATTTGCTTTGCAACGTGCCACCAGGGGGTCAGAAAACACCACGTCCGCGGCATGTCCAGCTGCAGCAAGCACAGAGAAAACTACAGGACAGCTGAACCCAATGCATCAAGAAGGACTACTTGTTCTTGTTCATGCGGATGGAAAGAGCCATGTTGACCCCATGGTCTCACCATCTCCAGGCACCCGGGACGAGGCGCCAGCGGCCAGGCGGAGGGGGCGTTGGTGGAGCTGCGAGTTGGTGGGCTGTGCCTTCCTGTTACTAGTAGCGATGGCCTCCACCTAGTGGGTTGTTATTAGTAGTAGTGGCCAAGAGCTACTGGTAGCAGCGATGCCATTTGTTACTAGCAGCTCCCCCAAAACCCTCCTGCAGAGGACCATATGGACTTCTTGAAAGTAGGAGATGATCTTCCAGGATCTTCCTTATGACTTTGGGATCCTTTGCACGGGGAAAAACCATGGTAAACCCTATATCCTCCGTGCTTGGTCCTCTATCAATTCCGAGGATCGCCGGGATCCAATCTTTAGCTCCTTAGAAGCTCTTTGGACCCTTTTGGATCCCTTTGGTGTCTACATGCGTCTACATAGGCACAAAAGTCATTGAATCACCCTTTGAGAGCTTTTGTGGATCCACAGGGGTGTAATTCCCAGATCTCCCAAAATGATGTTTAGCTTGTCCCATCTGGTCCCCACAAAAGTGTGCGAAAGCATTTCAAGAAGGCTTTTTCTCTCCAATGTTTGGGCCACAAGAAAAGTCAGTCACCCAAAGAAGGCACTCCTTTTGTATTCATATACCAGGACACCCTAAGGGGTGTTTATTGATAGCCCCTTAGAGGTTAAGGGGTGTCCATTAACCACCCCTTGAGGGTCCTATAGTATATATTCTGTAAATCACGAAAGGTAGCTTGAGCTACCTGAGTTCTCCTTGCTTTAGCAAAAATGTATTACAATCAGGAGTTGGGATTGTGCATTGAGTTTGGTCCTGTAAGAGTTGATTCTGTTCGTCGGGGGGGGGGGGGGCCCCTGGATCAAATCCCCCCTGCGCCGGTTCACGCCGTCATGGACTTCTACCAGGGTTACTTGTGATTGCCTGCTACCCCTTTCGTTCACCCCCTCCTCTCTCAAGTATATATTCTACATGTATCAGTCTACATGTCTATTCCCAGCAAACATACCGAAGCCATACAGACGAGCCAAAGAAGAGGCCAAAGACCCACACGCTGTTACAAGTTGTGGGTATAATGACATAACACAAGTTACATCAAGTTGCTATAACCTGGATTGAGTGTTTCTCTATAACGTGAGAAAAACTCATTACACAAGTTGCTATCATCGATTGGATTGGGACAAGGAGTTTGATGGACGATAAAAGATTCATTTCCTGGACTTCTTCGGTGCAAGTGACTGATCTCGGGCGTTCATCTCAAAAGCTGACCGTTCCCCGACCAGTTTTCAAGCTCCGTTCCTGACCCTGAATCCGATGGGATCTTGCTTCGCTGGGCGCCTCAGGGTCGAACTCACTGCCGTGGTCTTCATCCACGTCTATGGCCTTGTCGCCTGGGGCGATCCGACGGCAGGAGCGGTCCTTCAGCGGTCCGTGAGCGGTTGGTGAAAGACGCAACGGTTCATGTCGGTGCTCTTGGTGCACATGTCACAGGTCCTCAAAACCACCCAGACTATTTCAAGTCTGTTCAAGTTATATATATATATACACCCTATGCGTCCAAGACTTACTTTGCTTAAGTTCGACTTAGATTTGCAGCCTCGACTTAAAAGTTTATTGTTTAGACATACCGCGACACGATCCCCTTTGGATGGTAGCACGGGGTCTGAAAGTCAGGAATCAACAGTGCATGCGCATGGAACATAATTACGGTTAAATAAGTTCAACACAGTTGTTGTCAAACGTTCTTTAATTGCTACTGCACATACTGGATTTATACTGATCGCATGTTTGTATCCGTGACGCGTGCGGATCTTCTTGCCCATTCGGACCAAATGAACAGTGGACTGACCATGGACAAACCGTGGAACGACTTGAAAAAGGCATGGAACGACTTTAAAAAGTCGTGGAAAGACTTAAACAGGTCGTGGACACCACCACCTCTGAGAATCCACTTGAAACATCTTTTACACAGCACTGTCCACGAAAAAAATCCACACAAAGGATGAACAGATTGGCTTCGTGCCCGGTGAAAGGATTGGAAAACGGCTTGACGATTTGAGACTATGTACATGCACATGCGAAAACATGGGTTGAAGCTTTATTAATTGATGATGTTCAGATCACTTCAACATGACATATATAGTTTCGTCAAATACAGTGAATATTTTTAAGTCTTTCATTTCCAGTTTAAGTCGTTGCTGGAAGACTTCGATTTTCCAAGACTTTCGAAGTTTAGGGTATATATTTGCGTTGGTGTCATCAATGGAGTGCATAATATTATTTGCTCAGCATCTATATAGCAAACATAGTAAAACGATTCCACGAATGGTTTGGGCCAGGTTGACTGGAGCAGTCTTTTCGATGCAACTCTAAGGGGCCATTGTTGAGACCATAGTGACTTCACCAGTGTGGCTTTGTGTGGGTGCTGCTGCTTTGGTGTTTCTTTGGCCCCCCTAACACACAGTCTTCCAATGCGCGTCCCGCTTTTCAACCTCGCCCATGCAACCTCCTCGGTCTGAATTCTCGGGGTCGAAGCCGCCTGAACTAGGCGGCTCCATCCCGTGGTCCCTTTCGGAGCGGTTGAGTGCGGGCATCACCTTCGTGGTGGGCAATACGCGTGCCTTCGCCGCCGTGGGGCAACAAGGCGCGGACGACCGATGGTCGACAGTGCAATTTCTTGGCACGTCGCGCGTGCGTGAAAAAACGGGACACGGAACCGGTGGGTGGTGATGCATGGATTGGCACTGGGGGAACGGGGTTTTTGGAGGTTTTGAGGTGGGGAGGAATGACCATGTCCGCTTTTTCGAGGAATGCAGCTGCATGAGGCTTTTTCTGCGGGGAGCTGGAATAGGCTGGGATCCAAGGGTGGAATTGTTCAGCTAGCAGCTAGGGGGTTGAGGTCCTGAAGTTTAAGCGTGTGAGCTACGTGAGCACCCTGAGCTCAGACCCAAGTGTGAATTAGTGTGGGACTCACTCAACTGCCAGCCCAAACTCAAGGAACCACTGCTAGGCCATTGGGGCTTCCGACACAGCATTAGTTGTTGGCAACCAGCCATGCATGTGAAACTGGTTGAAGAATATATACTTCAATGCGTGGCCACGGTATCGATGGTAACGGTCGCCTGGATCAATTTAAATATTCCAGCGCCGGCTGTAGGATTGTTCAACGAAATCCCACAGATATCCCATGGGCTGCACTTGCAGACGTTCTCCACTCCAACCAGATTGACCATGATTGACCCAGAACTGGGCGCCCAAACACGTGGATGGTGCGAACATCTCGCCATGCCGATGAGACCGATGGCCAATGGCCTTGGTGGGTGGATCAGCAGAGGGGACACTCCCGATCGTGAGCGACCCATCTCGGTAGATATAACCAAATCGGTCCCCCGGCCCGATGTTTTGCCAAAAGGACCATCCATGACCATCCTAAGACCATCATTGTGTTTTAAAAACCATTGGAATTGGCCTATTTGTTGGCCTGGTTTTGGGTAGGTAAACCAATGAGTTCGACCGAGGATTCCCACCATTCGAACCGACCGAACCGTCGTTCGGACCGTTCGACAGGTTCAGTGACCACCTGGGGAGACCCGGCCTGCGGGGGGAACTCCGCACACGTGGCGGAGCACTTGAAGAGCCGAGCTTTTCAACTGTGTTACAACGAATGGGCGCCTCGGCTTGCGGTTGCTTTGGTTGCTTTCCGCGACTCGTTCGTTGTGTTTTTTTAATGCAATAGAGGTGTGTATAATATAACCCAGACGCTCCATGGGACTGCCATAGGACTGCCGCCCCATTGACCCCTCTGGCACCACCCCAATGTAGGTAAATATGACATACATAGAGTGTCTGGGTATGGAGATCTCGAGCTCATGCGTACTTGTAGCATCTCGCTTTGGGCTGAAGCGCGCGGAATGAAGGGGTGGATGGCCAGGGATGTTGAGGGGATCCAGTGCGATGAGATGCTTCATGGCCATTTGTGGACGATATTTCACGCCTCCAGCCTGAAGAGCGTCATCAAGCCTACACATTGTAGCGACAGAGGGAGAGAGAGAGAGAGAGAGTTCGAATGAACTCGACGGTTTAAAGAAAGCACTGAATTCTCCATTTTGTATTTATATCAACCACGCTCATTGAACAAAGACCTCCAGGCATGTGCAGTGAGGCTGGCAAGGATCCTCCCAGTTTAGTTGTTCCATCCCCGCGGAACCGTTTTGTTTTAGTCCACCATGGAAGCCCGAGTTGGTATGGTACTTGTAGATCCAACGAGAGATCCCACGGTGCGTCGTCTTGGCTGAGGCCTTTACTGCTTTTCGTGAAGGTGGCCAACTGGTATGCGGCTTGGATGAGACGATGAACCAAATGTACAAAAAGCGTCCCTTCCATCAACTTGCGTCTCTTGTTTGGGTCCTAAGACGATCAATTCATGACTCATGACTCATGACCTATTGAACCTCAATCCTCCAACGGCGTAGCCACTAGAGTCCCACAACAGGCAAACTGATGCGGAATGATGGGGTTTTCACTTGCAGGGCTTTGACAGTTCCACTGGCCCAGTGCTGCATGGACAGGGGCAGAAGATATCCAAGAGATCACAGTACGTGAAATCGTGTGGTTCACGATCAGCAATTACGCTGACTGAAAGTTTGGTCAGGGTAGATGGCATAAGCTGACAAAAAATCAGCAAAAACACACAATTACACAATTAACAACACAAAGGATGCAAACCTCAGTAGCAACCTTAGTAGAACACCTTTTGACCATTTTTGACCCATGTTGACCCATCGTGAAGTTGTGTTTCGAGGAGGCTCGTGTTTTTTCCATCACACAAGCTGGTGGTGAGTTCCGTCGCACAAGCTAGGATGTTGGGCTGAAGATGTGTTCAATTTTCTCAGATGAATTCAAGACGATCCCAAACGATGCCGGACTGCGTGGCCGCACAGCTGGGTGCACCCAGGCTGGGGCGACGCCGATGCCGGCGGTGCGCCCCAGGAGGCAGCACCCGCCCTGACCAGCGGCGTGGTAAAGGTGTGTGGCTCGACGGGTGAAGTGAGGTGAAGCATGTAAGGGCAGCCGGCAGTCAACGTTTGGCTGGCTGAGACGCAGCATTTTTAGCCCTTCACTATCCTTTGTAAGGAGAAAAACATTATGTACCGTCAGACGCAGGTGCGATTTGTTGGGATGATCTGGAGTGTGGCAGAGAATTAGAGGTGTCAGCACCATAAACTGCCACAACTTGGGGGGGTAAATCTGTTGAATCCACTTGACACCCATGCAGTCTGCATTGAAGTGTTGCTGCCAACAGTTCCATGTCGGGCTGCAATCCAATGGAGGTTAGGGCCTACCCAGAAGATCCACTCACTGCATGGATGGGACTCAACATCGCCCCGACTCCTGCTGGAGCACCGTTCATGGGCAGGGTTGGGTTGGGTCTACCAAGCTCTTTGGAAAATCCTTGGCCGGTCTAAAGCCGTAAACGAGCCATAAACATCCATAAACACTCCATGTATATATTTATATACATGGGGGTGGTTGAAAAGATGCCGACGTAGATATACGGGAATCACACTTTGATTGCTGACATTGCTGACATTGCTTGATCAAAGCCGCAACACCACCAAGCCCACATGCCATCAACCTGTTTGCCGCGCACATGTTTGCATGTAAATCCAGCCTGTTTTTTTCCTAACATCTAACGATGCAACCTAATTATTCGTTCCAGGATCCAGCCGCAGGTGAGCCTCAGGTGGTTGATTGATGGCACTTCCCACGTAGAGATCACCAATTGATGGCATACTGTCTCACAGGCGTTTGGCGAATGCCATCAACCCCTGGGGATCCAAGTACCTCCTCACAAGGTATTTGAACCCTCCTGGCACCCAGCCCCAGCCCACCCCTAGGGGATGTGATTCCAGTCCCATGCAACGTTTGGGAGCCACTCCTATCTAACTACCCTCGACTCGGTGGCTGGGCCACCTCCTGGCGTCTTACAGAACCAATGAACCGCTGAGGCGCCACCGAGTTCGCCTTTGCAGCTTTGAAGGAGAACGGCCAAGCACCTTGGAGGAAACAGAGCTGAAGAGCTGCCGTGGTTGAAAAACGGTCGGAAAAGGGAGAAACTCCCAAATCGGAGTACATAGACGTGTCCACTTGGTGTAGACTGCAAGAAGCAATCAGATTCTCATGTGACTACACCAAGCAGGGTTTCGCAGATTTGCCAAGTTAGAACGGACAATTCATGTTGACTGTTAAGATTTGTTAAGGAACCCGCGTAAACCTGCGCAAGCAAATTCAGACAAACTTCCCGTCGCGCTCGATGCTGGTAGGGGGGGTTGTTGATGAATCGACCGTCGATGAAGGTGATCGCCTGGGGCGACCCCAGCGTAGGAGGAGAGCTGCCTGAGGCGCAGATTGCGGGGGGATGGATGGGGAGGACAGCGGACGGCCCACTTGTCCATAGTAAGTCAGGTCCAAGATTCATTGAACCCTTTCCAAGACCAGATCTCAGTCAAACAACAGTTGTTCGGTAGGCATGCAAGAACTATGAAATTCATGGTGCATGCTTGAACTCTCTTGAGGAGTCTTGGAGGGAGCTGTGAGGAGCTCGTAAACCCCACTCTACCAAAAAGGCAGTGCAATTACAGAAGTTTCATGAATCATGCGCTCAAAAAAGGACGTGTGACCTAGATGTCATTAGCAGCCCGTCAGTAGCCAAGCCACATGCCAGCTTGGCGTGCATGTTCACTAGTTGTGGTTGGTTGTCAGTGATAATTCTAGCGATGAACATGGGCACTCCGGGCACTCTGAAGTTGAGCTCTTTCTTCAGCTCGCGAACTTCACTCCCACCTCCAAACCTGTTCCTCCATGTTCCTCCCCTTCTTTCTCCACCTCAAGAGTGGACCCACCCACCCACCCACCTCCTGCTCTTCAAGGCGGTGAAGCCCAAACTGATGAGTGGCGTGGTGAACCTTTGGAGCAACACCGGCGCCTTTGTGGCCGCCAAGGCGCGCGCGGAGCTTCGGCTTGGGGGTGCTTCGAAACGCGTTGTATACGTCGGTGTTCTTCGACGTGGTGCGCGGATTTGGTAGGATGAAGGGATTCATTCCCTAGGGATCCAGTCGTACCTTCTGAGAAGTTGGGACTGGGCTGGGTTTGGAGGGTTCCAATACCTGAGGAGGTGCTTGGATTTTTAGGGATTATAGGGGGGGGTTCGACTCAAGAATTGCACTGGTTTCAAACGTTGCTGGGTTGCGCAGTGCTGCAGAACTGGGAGTTGGAACCGAGACTCCAACTAGCACGATCCATGCTTAAAGCAGCCGATCGTAGTATACAACATCCAGGAATACATATTCCCCAAGCACTCCATCAGACATCATCAGACCGTCATATGAATGAAATTTCATTTGGGGTGCTTTCTGGGGCGTCCCATGTAGTCGTTTGGACATGTTTGGACTCAAACACGAGTCCGAAGCCGAGTCTCTTTCAGACTCCGGATGGTCCTAACTACCCCTAACTACTCCTCCGAGTGGGTCGGTCCGTTCGGTGCGTCAGGAGGACGGCTCAGTGGTGGCATGGGGCGAACCCACCTCAGGGGCAGTCATCGAGGCGAGCGGAAACATGAGAGGTGCCGGAGAAAGACCAGACCGGTGATCCAAGGAGGCACGAGTCCAGAGTTTGGGGGCATCAGGTCCCTGATGTTCATGACGAATTACTGCTTTATTGATAATAAAGCCACCCAACAGGGCGACATTACTGGATTGTAGCCATCATATGCCAACATCGTTGCTTTTGCGGGAGGATGCAGGGCACTTTCGGGTGTTGGAAGATCATAAAGCCACCCTGCATGCAAAAAGACCATACTGACTGGCGGCAAGACCCTCGGGCCTTTCGGTCAATCGAACTTGGCCCCGGACCCATCCACTGAGTGGATTGGAACCCCATGGAACCCCTATCCAGTCTTTATAAGCACCCGGATCAGCGCCATGGAACCCGAAATCCAACTTGGTCATGTCAAGTCGGTGCTTGGTTCCTACGGTGTACGGTTTACCACATGCACCTTGGCTAGCTTGGCTATCTCCAAAAGCGCCGAAGCAAACGTCATAATCTAACGTCATTGGTTTGTTCTGAAGCTTTTTGCTGCAACAGGAGCACAGTTCAATTGGGGGCATCGCAGAAGCCATTTTGACTGATGGATCAGTTGTCACTTGGGGAATCTTGGGGATATCGCGGAAGTTACAGTAGCAGGGCCCAAGATCTTTTGCAACCGTTACAGCAGCAGCAGCAAGAACAGGACCAACAACAACAACACCAGCAGCAACAACAACAACTACTACTACTACGACGACGACGGCTACCAGAAACTACTATTACCGCAACTAGCACGGCTACATTGATATGTACTACCATACTATAAATAGCTATATAAAAGAGGCTCGCAAGACCAGGTTGAGAAGATGACGTTCCACCAGGCAGTTTGGTGTGTACTGTAGCTGGTCCAGCCTTTGTTCAAATCCCGGGATGTGCTACTACCCGTTACAATCCCAATCATGTTGCACTCTATGTATACTCACCAATTCCACTTGATGTCGTTTTGCCCTCTATCCACTGGTTTTCTCCGGATCCCTAATGAAGTGCCAAGTAGTTTATTTGTTGGACCACCGTTTTGAGCTGGAATCGTGTGTGCTTATGCGAACCACATGGCAAGGCCAATATCAAGAATTTGGACAGTGTCTTCTGCAATCTCCGAGCCTTTGCAGCCATCACCACAGGTGGCAATGGGCGTCCAAAAGCAGAAAGGTGTTCAAGTTCTAGGGGTGTCCAGCCCGGATTGTTGGTGCCTTTTTTTGGGGCGGTTCGGCGGCCCGGGTGAGCGGGGTTGACCACTCACTCCATGGGCCCAAAGTCTTTGAACGTGATCGAAGCCACGAACTTGAGGGCGACTGCATCGGCAGGGTAAACTCTTGCTGAGCCGACCCGAAACTGAGGAAAAGGCACTGCTTGTGGAGGGCCAGCAGTAGGGGCCAAGGGCCAAGAAGGTCCAGAACTCTCCAAGAGGTCATGAATTGAGGTCCAGAACTCTCTAGTGACCCGTGCCCAACTCTCGAGCTGTTGGGGATTGGGAGAAGAAGTTGCACCAAAAACGATCAAAGGAGCGAAACTTTCAGGATTCGATTTGGAGGGACCCAAGCATGATTTCCTTGTGGGCATGGGAAGCTCTTTGTAAACCCCTATATAGGTCAAACAGTTCATGCCAACAGCCACTTGGGAGAGAGGTTCATCGAACTTGCTCGCTTCTTTTTCTCCGGGTAAACCAATTGCATTGAAACAAGACTCGAGTCGAATCCCTCAGCTTGACCAAAATCCCTTCGCCCCAATGGTGGCGCAGATGGTGGCGCGGTCGCTTGGGGGGCGCCTGGTTGCGGCGGTGATGCCAGCCACGTGAGGGAGCAGCTCCAGGCTGGGAGCAGACTCTTGGGCCGGGGGGAGGGCGGAGTGAATTCGCAGCTCTGGAGGGGGTTGGAGTCGCTTTCAGACAGAGCCGGAGCTCAAGAGCCGGCAGCTTTGGAGTCATCCCAAGAGCATGTGGACCTTCTGGAAGGAGCTGACAGCGTGCTGACAGCATTGAAGAAGTTATGGCCATGTCTCATTCATTTCTCAAACTTGCCGACTGAAAGATGCTGCGAGTATCAGGAACGGAGAAATGCCCAGGAACATTCTGGAGCGGAGCTTTGAAAGAACTCTGTTGCAGAGATTTCGAGGTTCCTACCGTGTCAGCTTGAAGCAATTATATGTAACAGCCGATCCCTGCAGAAGCGCACCGCGTGACTCCCCGAAAGGCGGATGGCGCCAGAAAGAACCCACCATTTGGCATCAGAAAAGGCGGGACACTCCCACCTTCCATGGACTCACATCTAAGAATCTATTAGCTTGAAGAAAAGCATGTTCGGGTCTCCTGGAGTCTCCCCGTTCCCTTTGCGGCACATCGTGCGGCACATCTCTGCAGTCTGGCGTGGTGGACATCCGTGGCAACGGGCGTGCCTTTGCGGCCCTGAAGGACTGGCTGGGTGACGTTGGACGCAAGGAATGAGTAGTCGACATGTGTACAGGGTCCCCAGGGCCCCACTGTCGGGGTGGTGAATGGACATCCCTTAACCTCTTAGGGTATTAGACACCCCTTGCCCTGGTATATGGTGACCTATACAATTGCCCTTCATTCTCTTGGAAGACGGCGCTTCTCTAGAAACACTAGCAGCTGCGAGCAGTTTGCAGGTTTCAGGGACATTAGTGAAACAATGAGAACTCAGAACGGCAATAGATATCTGGGAAACTTCAGGAACCTACAGTGTAGACAAAGCCCTAGCTGGGTCTAGATGGAGGATCGAAGCTGCTCGGGCTCAGTTTGCGCCAACTGAACCATTGTGCATGAGTTAGGCCTCAACAGACCACCAACACTAGATCTCCAGCAGGCACAAACGTAGCATGTGCCTATAACATCCAGTACTAGTCCTCTTGAGCCTTGCTGGAGGACAGGTGTTTTTTGACCTCTCAGACATGTTTTTTTTCTGGACCGACCTCTTCCTTTTCCTTTCAGGAGAATGGCTCCGTGGTGTGCTGGGGAAACCCCGACTTCGGGGGTGATGCTTCAAGCACTGCCCACATGCTGAAGCACAGTGTGGTTGACGCTTGGTTGGAAATGCATTTGGTTGACACGCGTTAGTTTGGTGATGCAACATGTTGCAACCTATTTGGTGTTACAAAGCTGCAGCGAAATGTGTTGCAAATCCATGTGCTTTGCAATTTCGGCACGTGCCAAGTGTTTCCAAGCAACATGATCCTATTGACGGGCCGATGGTCATACAGTTTAGTTTGTAGATGAGGGACATTCAGAATTCCAACACAAACATATGGCTCTTTTCCATGATCACACCGTTTTCAGTCGCCCCCGACAGGAGCGGTCGGTCTGTTGACCTAGAAGCGTTGGCCCGGAGTTCCACACAGATGGCATTGACAATGAAATAGTCACAGTCCTAAGATGTCTTAAGTGAGTGGACCGGGCACCCCTTTGGAAGTCCTGGCTGTGTGTTTTTCTTCGGGGCATTCTTTGAACCTATCACACCGAGCGACACTGAGTATATAGCATGTTTTGCGGGCATGTTTAAGATGGAACGGTGATGTACTGCACGCAACTGACAGTCGCAGGCATAGATTTGTATCCTTAGCGCCCAATGAGGAATTCATGGAACCTTTACCCCAGACAGTGCATGAGACCGGAAAGGTGCCACAGAGTGTAAGCACCACGTGTACCCAACTACGTTTTGGATCTGCATCGTTTGCACGTATACAAGTCAAATGGTCTGTGGTTGCACTTTCAGTTGGATTTTCCCAGTCAAAACCTATCCAAATCTATGGGCATACTGAGTGTGCATACTGAGTTTGTCCGTTGTGCTCGTGTGCTCAGCCTTTGGGCCAAACGGTCCGTTCCGTCCGCAGAACGGGCAGGACGTGGTGCCGAGCTTGAAAGCCTTTGCCGCACTGAAGGAGGATCCCATGAGACGCTCGGACGGAGCAACGGAGGATCCGATTGGTTGGGCGAGCCTGTGGCGGGGCGCTCGTATGGTGAAAGGGTCAGAAGGGAGAGAACAAGAACACGACATGGCATTGGCTTTGGGGTTGGAGAGAAGGATGCTGGCCCTGCTGCCCTACATGCACCCTATAGGTGTTCCTCCTTGGTCCGTCCCAGCCACCGTCCGTTCCTACCACCGTCGTCCGCGCGAGCCCGAGGTTTGGGCTACACGGTCCATACCTGGGGCGATCCGCAGGCGGGCGGCGATGCCAGCACAGTGGCCCAAAGCTTGATCGGCAACGTGCTGAAGCTCGGCCGGCAGAGGTGAAAACGGCGAGCTCGGGGCCATCCCAAAAGATACGAGGAGGTTCCCGCAGTCCAGATGATGGGTTGATTATTCATCAAGAATCAAGAGTATAACTGTAAAATGGTGAGCGGAGGATCAACAGCAACTTGTAAAGGCAACTGTCACAACTCAACCAACGGGGATCAAAGAACTCCGTCACGATCAAAAGCAAGCGGTACGCTCACTTTTCCATTGCGCAACCGTCGGGGGCTCGGATGAGCCAGACTCAAGGGCCCTTGTGCCAAAATGGTCACATGAGAGGGCCGCCATCTCATATCATGATATGCATGTTCCAATGCATACAAATTCACACGCCCTCATGGCGGTGCGAAGATGGGACCATGCTGTCAGCGACACTGTTCAGTCACGCAGCTCTCGGCTGAATCCGTACTTCTCAGCAAGACCTTCAAAATCAGGCTTCTTCCATTTCACCTTTTCAAGGTACATGGCAAAGTCCACGGCCTTGGTAATCTTGGATGGCACTTTTCCACCAGTACCATACTTTGACAAAATGAACTGGAGGTACTGACGCATGTCTTCTCCTTTCTTCGAATTCGTGCGGGCCGTCATGATCATTTGATCATACGTGAGGCTTTCAGCCTTCACCTTATCCATACGACAGATGGTCTGTCCCCATTTCTCTACGGTGCTGATTCCTTCAGGCAAGGGAATCAAGGGATCGGTCACATTGGCCACTGGGAACAAGTTCACCTTTCCAGCTTCATATCCCTTTGGGCTCACAGCAAGGTGCTCCGGTGTCATGGTTGAACCGGTAGGCTCATTGGCATTCAAGAGCTCCCACGGATTCGAGGCCTGAGAGGTCTCATCGGCATCCATGCGTCGCTTCGCAGCATCAGTCATGGCGGACATGGAGGCATCCACGATGACCTGAGCTCCCACAACATTTGGTCGGAGGTCTGGACGAATCTTCACCCAGTCGTTCACACGCTGGAGCAACTGTGCACTTTGTCCGAAACGGACAGCTCGATGGAGAAGGCCGGCACACATGCTAAGATCCTGATCCGTCAGTGGTGACCGGATGTGATATTCTTCATCATCGGTCTTTGCTGCTTTCGACATGATCCTGCGGGACTGAATGGGCGACACTTCACGGTCGTGCGCTCCTTGGAGCAAAAAGGCTGTGCAAAATTCGGTTTAACCGATGCGGCACAAGAAAAATGAGAAAAACAACCAGGACGACTCCTCAGCAACGAACTGGTTCGAGGTGGCTGGCAATGGATGGTTTCTCAACCTAACTAACAAATTCTTAAGTTTCACCAAGCAAATGTTGGATTCACTTCACAACATGCATGCATGGGCCCTAGTGCTCATCTAGTTGACGTTTCTCTGCTTCTGCAGCTCTAGCCTTGGCTTTTTCTTTCTTACCTGACTCTACTCCGGTGTGGATGGTGTATTTCCAAGTGTCAACGAGTTTATAGAAAGGTCCTGTGTCGGCTCGTAGTTTAGTCAACACGTCTGCACACATGAAAATGTTACTAGTCCAAAAGACCATGATGTTCTGCAAGGACATGCTTTCCTTTGCAATGGCATAGTCGATCTGAAGTCTCTTCTCTACGCTAATAGTAGGAGAGCTACACGATTTTGTGACTGCATCGAAGAAACCCTTGCTATCAACAACGAGGCATGCTGTCTTTTCTGGGACTCGTTCTCGAAATGTTCGAGGCGATTGGCCTTCTAGGATCTCAGCAAGCAGGGATTGAATCCACTCAATCGCATCAAGTCCATTCTGACCGGACATGGTTTCTGCTGCTACTGAGGAACGAACTACTCGTCGTAACTTCTTAGAACTCCAATCTATTATCCATACAGGGGATTCCTTGTTCTTCATGATGTCTTTGGTCGTAAGACATAGGATGTATCCACCTTGACTTTCACCGTTAGCTCTAGTACACCAGCCAGCATCAGCAATACACACGATGTGCCAATCTTTTACTGGAACGTGGCTAGGGAATTTCAAACAGATTTTTCTAGTTTTCATTTCCCTCACGGCTTTGTTGTACAAGTGGACGTGTTCAACTTTCCCCTTATCCTGAACCCCTTGAAGATACGAAGCCAGGAATGCCTGTTCCGGACGTGTCGAGTTCGACACCCAGGCTAACTGACCGGCGCAAGTTCTAAGGATAGAAGGATCTGTAAGGGACGTTGAAGCGTTTCCCAAAGTCTTCGTTTCAACATGTTCCAAATTCTCGATGTAATTTTCTTGTCCTACTTCAATTTCCATCGTATTTGGATTTTGTCGAATCTCTACTCCTGTATATCTTATTGTGAAAGTACGATAGTCACCGAACGGCAATTTCTTTCGGAGTCGGTCCAAGGCTTGGTCCATTTCCTTGCAACCTCCACCTAGTAGGTCATCTACGTGTACTCCACATATGCCTTTCAAAGTGTTATCGGACTTACTCCTCAACATAAACAAACATGGATCCAACTGGCTCTGGGTTAGCCCTGCTTCCTTAAGTTCCCTGGTCAGGCGGGAAAACCAAGCACGTGGTGCCTCAGCCAGGCCGTAGGCAGCCTTCTCAAGACGAAACAGGTCATCTGTACTCAAGTTCATCCATTGTTTGATTTCTGCTGGAGGTCGAAAGTAAATGTTTCTGCAAGATTCATCACCTGACAAAAACGCTGTTTTTATGTCGGCTCCCCATAGCTTCCACTTGGATGCTGAACAAATGGATAGAACAAGGTGCTTTGTTTCCTTACGCAAAGTTGGACTGTCTGTTGCTACCTTTCCTAGGTCCGGGTCCTGCCATCCTACCAAAACTAGACGTGCTTTTGGAGTTTTGGATGTGATATCAGGATCGGATGACTTTTTCCATACCAAGACCCACCTTGCTCTAATTATTCTTTCTGTAGGAATCCCTCTAGCCTTGCAAAGTGAAGTCACCTTATTGTCAATCCAGCTTTGCCATTCCTTTTGCATAGCTTGGAGAAACAGTTTCTTGTCGTGTGGATTGAGTTTGCGGAACTGGACTTCAACCCTTCTTTGCTTCGCCTTGGACTGCGGCGCAGCTTGCAAGCATTCTTCAAAAAGATTCCAGAGACACAGAGGATTCTCAGTGATGTCTTCGGGATGGACGTCAATGGAAAGTTCGAACACATGTTCTGCCTGTTGCAATCTGGCTGTTACCGCTAGTTCGTCTTCACCAGCTTCTGGAACGGGAACATCTATGCCAGATGGTTCGATCTCGTTCGATCGTGAGTCTACTTCAGGCATTACTTCATCGGTGTTATCGGGGCTATCGGATTCGGGCGGATTAGTGTCTGTCTCTGGTTCCAGGTGTGCAGGTACAGCACCTGGGTCAGGCATGAGCTCATCAAGCTCGTTGTGCATTTGAAAGCCTGACTGAGATCCCTCTTCTTCAAGAGGAACTGGCGGTTCGGTGGGTGCATAACTTGGAGATGAATCAATTTCAACAACCCTTCTACGTTTATCGGCTGGCTCAAGTCTATCCTCGGGGATCTCTTCAGGAGCAACAGCGGCAAATGGCTGCTGATTCAACTCTTGTTCATGCATACTGCCGAGAGGTGGAATCTCGCCTCGTGATCTCTTTTGCCAATATTCAGGGGAACGATAGAATCTACGTCTTATCTTATGTGGTCTACCCTCCGAATCAGGTCTGTCATCGATGGTCTCAGGATGAGGTTCGGCTTCTACATCTTCCTTGAGTTCGAAGTCCTCTGGACCAGGGATGTCCTTTGTGAGATCATGAAAACGAGCGACGCCCTCCGACAATGATTTACCTGCAGCTTCCGTTTCCGGTGCCAGCTGGCCTAATGCAAGTTCTCTTGCAAGCGCTCGAAACTCAGTTTCGTCTTCGGACATTGGACGGAGGCCTTCTGGTCGACATCTATAGAGATAGCCATTATAGCTTGTCCAAACTAGGCGTGGTATGGGACTATTTGATGAACTTTCTACCCCAATTACTTTGGCAGGTCCTAACCACTTACCATGTCTTGTGCTAAGCTGACCTCTTCCTGCTGCTCGAAACATGTATACAAGTTGACCTTGTACGTATGGTCCTCGCATGGGACGATGTCTATAGGCTACAGCTCTTCGCCAAACATCCTTCGCATGTTCTTCATGAAAGGCCTTGGCCGCTTCTTCACGAAGGCGAATCTTGGATGCAAACGATGGATCTGACAGGATTTGCGACTGGGCAGCAAAATTTCTTTGCTCATCCAAGTCGGCAAGCATTCCCACATGGCGTGAGTCCCTTCCCAAGAACCATTGTGCTGGGCTGAAACCATGCTTTCGAAGTTGTTCATTACGGGTTGTTGCACACATTTCTATTACCTCTTCTGGTGGACGGTCAGTGCCTGGCCAACAACGATTGGCCATGTTCCTGAGAATGCGATTGGCAATTTCAACTTGACCTAGCTGATAGTGTGCTTCGGCAGCCGCATGCAACAACTGAATGCCACGGTGTGTTAGGTACTCTTGGAAATCCTGGGAGAGATTAGTCTTGGCAGGGTCCATGAATATTATCTTAGGAGTGCCGTAGGGACGTGTCCACACCTTATGGAAAGCTACTGACAGCTGATTGGGACCGCGTTCAACGATGATCTGTTGTGCGAAACCTGTGGCCATATCAACACATGTCAACACGTTGAACTTGACTTCGGTCATTTTCCCATTACGTCCCTCTCTCTTGAGTTCTACTTGAACAAAATCAATACCCACTATGTCATTCGGGTTCTCTGCATGGGGGATTGCACTCTTACGATATGACGGTGGAGGCTTGAGTTCATTACAAATGGGACACTGGAAGTTCCGAATGCAGTCCACAATTTCTTGACTGGCTTGGCAACGGTTCGCGAGCCTCAACATTTGTTCTGTCGATGCATGACCTGTGTTCACATGCAATTTACGAACCAATGCGGACACTCGCAGCTGCTTGGGATTCAAACTTCGGCTGTTCGAATTTGGCTCGTCATGGTCTGGCAGTCTCTCTGATCGATCTTCTATCTCTTCTTCTAGTTGATCTTCTTCTTCATCTTGAGCTAAGATCTCTACTGCATCTGGACCCGAATGTCCATGGAGACTTTTGGCAAGACCATCGGCCATGACACGTGCAAACTTATTAGGATATGTCTCGGCCCAGGATGTCAGATTTCTACCTTTGTAGTTTCCTTCTAGATGATCATGACCATGCTTATGATCGCACCGAAATGGGACAAGGTGCTGCATCAAAGACTCCTGAGTGCTGACGATCCGAGTTGGCTTCAAGACAGGGATGTTGGATTTGGGGCTACGGAGCCCGAGTGCACATTGGTCAATTCGGATTGACCAGGCTGGTCCAAGCACTAACTCCTGCCACATATCGGACGAGTGCGGATTCTCAGCATGTACATGACCTCCAAGGATGGTTTGGAGATGCCATGTTTCCGAAACACATTGCAGATGTCTTCTAGCTTGATGTCTCTTTTTCAATACTTCTTGTTTCCTAGACTCGGAAAATGCCATATTGAACCTCGACCAGGGACCCCAGCACTTACATGGGGGAGCAAACCAAATGTGATCAGGCTTTGTCAAGGCTACCAGGTATAGGAGATTTCGTCTATCCCTCAACCTACCAAGATCATGTCCATAATCTATCCCAATTTGGATTGCTGTTTTCGGGTTTCTCTTTTCGTACTGTTTGGACAAATTGGCTGTTCCTGTGAAAACTTCTATGAGTCCAACCTTGGAGTCAAGTTTACTAGCCTGGTTGCCCAACCAGTGGCGAAGTTCTGAAAGCACTTCCTGCCGATTGCTCTGCAGTCGCGACAAAGCCATGCGTACACCGACACGGCGTGCAGCTGTGATTGCGTCTTTCAGTTTCGTTTGGGTTTCTTTTGGAACATCCTGCAAGTCAAGATCTACCCAGTCAACCTCTTCATACAAAGTTTCGAGGGTGTTTGATTGCATGGTGTATTCCCAATCCCCTTCTATGTCATCATTACAACAACAATCACATTGGTGCGCTGATGGCGTCGGCTCTGCTGGTTCGACACGATCGGACTCACTGCCGGCACTCTCAGGTTCAGAGGGTGCTTGCTCGGATCGAAATGCAAAGATCGCAACCTGCATTGGGTTGACAGGTCTTCTGACCCGTCCGGCTGGACGAACGATCCATCCTGACATGAGCATGTTTCCATCTTTATCCATAGAGACTACATTCATATCAAGTGAAGTTCGTTCGGCTTCGGCAGGAATCCTTTCTAGTCTAGGTTTATATGCTACATAGGCATGCACCACCGGGTGTTCGGGACATGAAAACAATTGGGACAGCTCGGCACGAAAAGCACTGCAATCGACGTTTCCTCGTTTGGTATGTTTACACACAGTTTGAAACGCCCTCCGAGTATCACACGGGGTTGGCTCCATTTTTGGTGCACTTAAAACACTGTTTTTGTTCGTGTCCTGTCCTCTGAGTTCTTGGTGGTGCTCGAGATCAACGGAGATGGACTGGCGGTCCATCGCTTGGGCTTCATGCGGATTGGGCTCATTTGTATTCGAGTCGTTGAGGACTGTCTCCCACTCAGCAACCTGTGGCACCAGAGACAACAGCAGATGGCCATTTGCGGCCTGTTTCAGGGGTACATCTTGCATACCATGTTTTGGACTCGTGATGGTCATTCGGCCCAAGTCCAGTGTGGCCTGCATACCCTCCAACACCCTTCGTGACAGCAGGAATGGTGCGCTTCCAGGAACAACATATGTCGTGATATTCCCTTTCAACGAACCCAGCTGTACTGTCCACTTCAAACCAACAGCTGTTGTTTCGCTCTGACCATTAAAGCCACGAAGCTCAACTGTAGGCATTGTGACACGCACGGGTGGAGGAAAATTGCATTGTCTGAAAACCTGCTGATATCTCTGTGCTGTTTCCTCGCCAACAACGGATGTTGTACAACCAGTATCAATGATTGCAAAACCCGATGGAATTGAGGCCAGGAGAATTTCCAGTTCAGCAGCGGTGGACTCGGTCAGGGCATAGTTGAACTCGGTCAATGTCCTGTCAACAATCTCCACAGCTTCTGTCAGGTTGGCGTCCTCACGCCTCGGTGGTTTCTTCTTTGGGTCCTTTTGTGGTGACTTCTTGTCAAAGGACCTTTTCTCATAGCGTGGTGTTCTGGACGATGCAGCCTGAGTTCCCAGTGGAGCCTGGGACTGGCCGCCTTCGGTGGGTGGAATGGCCACCACCGGCATGTATGGTTGTCGTGCTCTTTTGATTTCCCTCACCTTCTTCTTTGACTCCTTGTAGGTGCGAAACTGTTTCTTGAATTCTTTCTTTGCTTTCTTCTGAATCTCATAGATCTCCTGCAGCTCTTCCTCAGAACCTGAACCCAGAGATGTTTCGCCACCCTCAACTTGGTAGGCCTCTTCACCAGACCCGGAGTCAGAAAGTGGGTCGACGGAGGTGGATGAAGCTTCAGCAACTTGTTCAACAGCATAGGCTTCGCGTCGTGGTCTCACCTGTCGACGATCGTCCAGCCGTGGTCGCCGGTCATCCAATCTCTCCTCATAGTCACTAGCGCGCAAAATCTTCTCAATGTCAACAAATCGACTGGAGCCACCTGTTGAACGAATGATGTGGCTGCGTTGCTCACGCGACAAACCAAACTTTCTCATGAACAAGTGTCCCAAAACTGACTGTGGAAAAATCGGTTTTGGCTTTGTATGCGACTGCTCCAACGTTCCAAGAAGACGTTGCATACGGAGATGATCTTTTCGCTGGTCACCTTTCTGAGTCCCAGTGGACTTCCCCTGTGAAGCCTTTGAGCTCGACTTCGCACTTCGGACCGATGGAGTGGATCCCGTCCGACGATGAGGATCAAGGGGAGGATCAAAAGGACCTGGAGGAGGTGCTGCTCTGGCCTTGGCTTCTGGCCGGACTTCATCTCCAGCTTCTTGTTCAGTTTCATCAGTTTGTTCATTGGGATCGTCTGGAGGTAGGGCATGTTCGTCCGACTCTTCCAGACTACTCGAATCTTCCTTTTTCTTTTCTTCTTCGACTGCGGACTTCGGTTGCTTCTTCGACAGCTGACGCTCCTGTGAGATGAGCGTTTCCAGGCGATGCAGACTTGTCTTGAACCGGGATGTGAAGGAAGTGGCTCCCTCATGTCCTTTCCGCTTCAACCCAAAAAGGAACTCATCTATGGCCTCGTGGAGCTCGGTCTCGGGCAAATAACGGTAATGCTGATCAAGCGTCCGAACAATTTGCAGCCAGCCTTGTTCACATCGAAGGTCAGCAATTGGAATGTTTTCGGTCGCTTTCCAAGCTTCGCCAGACAATCTTCCGAGGACTCGAGGACCGGCCAGGTGTTGTTGCTTGTCCTCAAGGGATGCAACACCAAGGATCAGCTTGCGTCTGAACTCACGATATCCGCTTGGCTTCCCATCGAAGTAGAGGTCTTTGAGAGTGTCTTTGTAGTCCATGGCTCAAACTGCCAACAACAAACAACAATGTTCCACAACCAACAATCAATGCTCAATGCTCAACAATCAACGTCAACTCAACCTTGCACCACTGCACAAGCAATGCACCTAGATGGCACGAGCTGCTCTGCGGTTTGCACCGCACCCGGGATCAGGCCGGGACCTCACAAAGCAATCCTGGAGCTTGGCAGCTCCGCTACCATGTAAAATGGTGAGCGGAGGATCAACAGCAACTTGTAAAGGCAACTGTCACAACTCAACCAACGGGGATCAAAGAACTCCGTCACGATCAAAAGCAAGCGGTACGCTCACTTTTCCATTGCGCAACCGTCGGGGGCTCGGATGAGCCAGACTCAAGGGCCCTTGTGCCAAAATGGTCACATGAGAGGGCCGCCATCTCATATCATGATATGCATGTTCCAATGCATACAAATTCACAATAACAATATTGTATGATATTGATATACTATAGGGATGTTGGAATTTCCTCTACAAAATCGCGGTGGGTGGGTACTTTGAAGAGGGAGTTTGTTTATTCATCTTTTGTTGGTTAGGATGGAGGCTTGCAAGTAGAAACCTGGCAGTTCCAATGGCGATTATAGAATATGGAGGATGAGGAATGTGAACACTGAGATGAAACACCAGAGAGCACAGAGCACCGATGGTTTCTTTGGGATTCAATTTCGGGGCCCTGGGTGTGGATTGTGTAGGGCATAGGGGAACCAATTGGAGCCTGTTTCATTCCTTTTTTGATCTTTTTCGGGGAGCGCAACATGGATGTCGTCACTGAAGTGTACAAAATGCATAAAGGTCTGGAACCATGCATTCACAGATGGATCCATCATGAAAATTGCTACTGCTGTTGCTGCTGATGTTGGTCACTGGATGTTGCTTGTTGGTTCTTGATGTTTTTGTCCTTCATTGTTTTTGTTATTCAAGTTGATCGGGTTACTGGGCACGCCCCGAACCCCGAAGCAAAAACGATCACTACGCGCGTTAGCGGCGTATCGTCTCACGCTTCACGGCTGAACACGTATCGTCACGCGGCAGCCGAACATCGTTTCACGCCAAGGCAAGTCATCGCCAACGACTGGGCCTTCGCGGCGCGCCGGGACAACGGCCAGGTGGTGTGCTGGGGTGATCCCACCTCCGGCGGAGACCTCGGGGCAGCTCGTCGAACAGAGCGGGTTATGGCGGGTTGGCGGGGCAAGCGGTGGGGCGTGGTGGGATGGCAACGTTGGGAGTTGTTTTTTGTTTTTTGCTGGGACTCACGGAACCCTCCAGACAATTCCAGACAGGGATTGTAAAATAGGAATATATGTGTCATTTTAGAAGAATGAAGAAGCATTTTAGGAATGCATAATACAATTTGGGCCCGGAAGGAAGAATGACAAATATTTTCATGTTACTACATCGATCATAGATTTGTTCAGTTTCGATGTCGTAATCCACGTCATAGTTCCAAAAGGCAATGGCTCTACATTTTCGAGTTTCAGGCTGTATGGAGCTTGCGTCTCCATGCCACCTCGAGTTTAAGCCCATTTTGGGAGTCCAAGCAGCTTCTACAACTCCAGACAACTTCAGTGACTTTGTGTTAGACTCCCTTTGCGGTTTGCACCAACTTGAGGCATTTATGGGCTTTTGGGTGTTGAGCTCAGGACGTGGCCGAGAAGATTGAAGCTGGAGGCCGAGAAGATCGGTGTTCAAACACGATTTCGGTGTTGGCGGGGACGTCAGCTGGGTGGTGGGACATTGCTCAGCTTGCCAAAGCTGACGGGAAGGGAAGTGGAGGCCGTACATGAAAGTACCCTGTCAATCGAAGACCGTGAAAAAGAAAGGTTGACTTGGTCGTTGAAAATCCGTAGTTGCAGCAATGGTTCTGAGTTTTTTTATCGGTAAAAGCCATGCACAACTTAAAAAGCTGTCAAATCAATGTTACTTTGGAAGCCTTTGACCTAGAATATGTTCGAGGTTGACCTGTTGACATATGTTGACATTCACCCCCCGATCCACCACGGACCGCATCCATGCAATGTGTGTGTGTGCGAGGCGGAGCCGTAGCTCTGTATCACACCACGCGGGCCTTTGCGGCGGTGCTGCAGAACGGCTCCATTTGCTCCTGGGGCGAGCTCAGCTGTGGTGGTGACTGCACACCGGCCATGGGCTCAGCGGGGACGGTGGGCGGAGCGCGACGGTGGGGCGACGACCAGGCGGTGATGTCACGGAGGGAAAGTGCATGACAGTCAGTGGGTGGGCACCTTCCAAACGGGGAGATCACCAGGGCAAGTTCGATTCGCTCGACCACCCTACGAGCGGACCGAGCGAGCCCGACGCCCGCGCCCAGGCGGAGTTCGAGCTGGCCGGGGAAAAGGCGTGGAGTTGGTGGAGCCACAAAAATCTAGCGTCGATTAGGACCCACTGTCGGGGTGGTTAATGGACACCCCTTAACCTCTAAGGGGCTATTGATAGACACCACTTTAGGGTGTCCTGGTAGAGAACTGCAAACCGAGAACTGGACAGACTGCTGGTTTGGGATGTTTTGGGACTGGCAGGTTGATCCGAAGCGGTGCTGCAAGGGTTTTATGTTGATGATTCCAATTGGGTGACTCCACCAACAAAGCATCATAAGTCTAAGCTGATGATGGCATTGCTGACACAAAGTTTCCAGATGTGAACTTTGTCACTTGCTGATCGCTTGACACTGTACAGTAGTTCCACTGATGTGTTGCTTCATCCTCACTACAGTACTACCGTATGTTGCTCCTTCTCCCCTTCAATTGTTGTTATCTTTTTTGTTAGTCGAGCTTCATCCATGAAGCTCGACGCGAGCGTGGGACTTGGAGGACGTTTTACCCCGGCAAGAAACTTCTGTCTTGGCGTCGTAACTCAGTGTCACAAAGTGGGATTCAGGGTGCCGTGCCAGGCATCCATAGCCGGGCCACAAGTCCACACTTCCAAAAAATACGCATAGCCTCACTGCCAGTCCAGCCCAGTTTCACTGGGCGCTCTCGGTCCAGTTTCATGTTTCACCCTGTCACCACCGTGTCTTCGGGTCCAGGTGGTGGACCTGTGCGCCAACGACTACGCCTTCTGCGCGCGCAGCGCCTCTGGTGCGGTGGTCGCTTGGGGTGTGGGGACCCAGCGAAGATGACTCCATCGCGTCGCGAAGAGGCGAAATCCATCGCGGCGTGGTGAACTATCAAGCCAAATGCAGTGAACTTGATCGACGCAACACGGACTGAAAGAGATCGACTTCCGCCTATCTGAGCCATACTGACCCCGCAACCACTCCAAATGATCCCCAGGTCAATGAATGTAAATATATCATGTATTATCATGGGGGTTATATCGTCGTCACCGTCGGACTGGGGCCCTGGTGTTCACTTGAACGACCGGTCCCGCGTGTCGACCGGTCCGATAGGCCACAAGCAATATGGCGGAAGCATTGACGAGGCGGGTGTGCAGTTGGTCCATGCTGGCCCTGAGACCCTGCCGGGGGAGTGGCACTCATGAGACCCTTTTAGATCCTTTGAGTGGTCCCGCAGGGCGGGCGATCAGTGGATTGGAATGGTGCTTTGGTGGTTGAAGCTGTGTTTTGGTGGTTGTTTCATGATTTTCATGTGAAGCAAAAGGCCAGGTGGTACCCAGACCCATTGGAGAAAAAGAAGTTGGAAAGAAGGTCACCCTTGAAAGGGTACACTTTATACAGACTACACGGGAGGTAAACCGGCCCCCCCATCCCATCCCAATGTCCGGGTACATCGCGTCTCAGGAGACGGTTCCCAAGCTCAGGAGCGGAGTGACCAAGATGATAGGCCAGATGTCGGAGACCGACACAAGCTGTGTAACTTGGGGTGGGCCCTAGAAGTCCAAAGGCCGCCGCATTGCACAGGGTTCCAAGAATACACCAACATGCAAGTACTGAACGGATGCATTTGTCCAAGTGTCTACGACCCTGGTCGTGTGCACACTCGCAATGGTGGACACCTCCCTTCCCCGCCGCATTGTATCCAGGAAGGCCTTCCTGCAAGGGTTGGAGTACGTGCAATGGTTGGGTGTGTTCCTACCGCTGCTAGCCACCCCTGCTCCCATTCCTACCTCTACCCTCACTTACTCAGCAGAACCATCATCCTCATCATCCTCATCCCCATCCGTATTCTTATAAATTTCCCCTATGTGTACCAATCTACCCGTTGTTTTTATCATCAAATTCTTGTTTCCACCATGTCACTCTGAGGGGTGCTAGTTTGTGGGGGACAGTTGGCGCCCTTCTCGCAGGGAACAAGTTCTCCTTCTTGGCGATGAAGCGATCCGGAACCTATGTCACCTGAGTGGCGCAGCTGCCGAATTCTTCCTGGCAGTTCTTGGGGGGCAAAGACAACCCCTCCAGAACTCCACATGAGCACAAAAGGTCCGAGGAACCTTTTCGAGAAAAACATCTAGACATATCTAGATCTAAACTAGCACTGCCAGCAACCTGTCAATCAACGCTGTAGAAATGCTTCTTGGGAACATGTCCTTTTAACCGTGCCAAGATACTAACATGGCGGACGGATTTTTGGCATGTCTTATATGCTCACACGCCACATGTGTTTGTTTAGTTGACCTTTCTAAGCAATTGTTTAAACGTGATATGTTGGGCCACTGAAATTGTGCAATTTTGACTAATTTAGATCTAGATCTATATATAGATAATGAAACGCAGGCAGATGATGCAGGTCGCACAAAAGGATTGCACGTTTGATTCCTGTTCGAATGCGACAACATGCTAATTGTAAGTGTCACCACACTTATTGTGAAGACCTAATTAGACTCAGACCTACTATAGTACAACAAGAATATACTAATATAACAGCTTTCCTGCAAAAGTTCTTTGTGCGGAGGGTTGCTTGGTCAACTGGCACCACAAAAGTTGTGGCAGTCAACATGCAGCTGTCTCACAAGGTGCAAGATGCACCGACCCAGGTGTAAGAAGATCTGTGGAAACAGTTGGACTTCATCAGTTCTTGCTTTCAAGTTCTGAGCAACGGATCTGCAAGCAACAAGTCCAAGAAGTCAGTTGCTGGACATGAACTGTATGTAATTTCGAACGGGGAACAAGTAGGAACTGCAACGGTCAACCGCCAGTACCTCACTTTTCATCACTTTTCTATTCTTTGGCGAACTGGTCAGGGCTTGGAGAAGAGGGCCTCGCCCCTACTCGGCCTTTTGGCTTTGCCTCCTCAATGTTCAGCGATCCCATCCCCATAGAGAAGAACCGAACAACTGTTGTACACTCTTCAAGAAGAAGGCACCCTCATGGCGGATTGCGACAATCACGCTGGTCTTGACTCTTCAAGGTGAAGAGTCTCAAGAGAGAGAGAGAGAGAGAGAGGGAGAGGGAGAGGGAGAGGGAGAGGGAGAGAAGGAGAGAGAGAAGGAGTGATACTACATGCCCTCTTTTCAATGACCAGATGTTTCTAGAGCAGAATCATGGACAACCCTTTGAGCCTCCGAAACCAGACGTGAGTGTCCCGCTGCAGATGGACGTGGGCATGTCCACTTCCCGTCCACTTCCTGCCCCTGGTGCCCGTGATGTTTCCAGGTGATGCTGTGCCAGGTGACGCTGTGCCAGAGCAGGGTGGCCCACGCTTTCGGTCGATGTGCTGCGAACTTTGTATGGTCCCAGATCGTCAACATGACCTCAAAGAGACTTCCACTTACACCCTGGAAGACGGAGGAAAACCATCTTCCAAGGGGTCATTGTCAGGGTCTATGATAGTTTTCGGGAGTGTATCTCAGTCAGGGGCGTGCATGAGAATAGGGAGAGCCCCCTGACCCAATGGGTGTGAGTCTAATCTGTAGTGTTTTGCCTATTGCAAGGAGTTCTTGCTTGCGGCGGTTCTTGAAACCAATGCACCTCCGGCAGACCCTTGCTCACTATTTATCACAGCAGGTCTTGGGACCCTTGTTTACCGACAACATGAACAGTGGCCAGTTGACCCCACTTCAACCCGAAGCAACGAACACCTACCGCTGCGCGGTTGGGGCCCCCTTGACGGCCCGACGTGTCACCATAGGCGTGGCGGTCCGGGTTGATCTGCCTAGGCCAGTAGACGAGACCTTCGCTGGGATCCTGAGCCGCTGGCGACAACAGCAGCTTGGAGGAGTCTAGACGTGAGCGAAGACCATCCATATCATAGCTGGCCGCCAGTACCATGAATTTGTTGATTAATGGAGGGGATACCCCCAAGTTTTCACAACCAGTACTCTCAGTAAGTCTCATTTCTCTTCATTTTCTTGTGGAAAGTCGTTTGGGTATATATCACTGAGCGGCTCACCTTTTGATGGACACTCCTCACTCAAATCGAGCTCTCATTTTTCAACTTGCTGATTGCAAGTTTGCATCGAATTGTTGAACACCAACTTCGGAAGGTGCTTCCCAGCTCTTCAAACGACCCGCGACCTACGACGTGGCTCTGTGGCTCGTTGTTGCTGGCCTGCTGCTGGCCTCGGCGAGTCGTGTCACTGCCCCCCGTTGAGGTTTGCCGAGTTTCAACGTGCTCGGACGCCCGGGCTGCCGGGCGGTTGGCCTTTGCTGGTTGCCTTGGGCTGGGTGCCTGTGGGGTCAGAGGAATCCGGTGAGTACGGAGGAAGCACCCTCCAGCTGGGACGACAAGAGATGACGATGGAGGCACTTAGCCTGGTCAAGACCTCCAGCTGATGGAAATTGATCTCACTGACTCTTGGCGTTTGTTGGGCTGTTTGGTCTGAGAAGGCTTTGCTGGCTCTTCCATCCCCCAAAACACGACGTCACCCGCATTCTGGGGGACCCAGGTTCCCAGAAGGACAATCGACCCCAGACACTCCATGTATGTCATATTTACCGATCAGTTGGGGTGGTGCCAGAGGGGTCTGTTTGGGGTGGCAGTCCGACATGGCAGTCCCAAACGGGTGGCGTTTGGGTATGTTTCCATGGAAACCCATTGAACCGTGGGGTGTGATGATCGGTTTCGTCGTCGCCTAGCCGAGGCTTTGGGCGAAGCTTCGAGCTGGGAAGCCAAGCCGATGGAGCCCGGCTGGTTCGGGTCGGCGGGTTGCTGACTAAGCGGGTTGCCTTTTGATGAATCCAACGACCGCATTTGGATGTTGCTTTTGATGAGCTTTTTTTCAAGGGCCCCCAGATTGGGTGGTTGATCCAATGCTGTGACAGGCAACATCCATGTTGTGCAACTTGCACCCAGGGTGCGCAACAGTCTTTCAGAAAAGCCTCAAAATGTCAAACACGCGATGTGCGCATGTTATTCTGAAGCAAATTGAAGACCTCCCAAAGAACTGTGAGACCAGTCTAATCCAGTCTACCATCCAAACCCATTGGTTGGGGGTCTCCCTATTAAAATGTGTTAAAATGCACACCCACATGTTCAGTAGATTTCAATGTCTACTCCAAGTGGTGATTTGCTGAGACTTCAGTTGATGGTGGAGGGTTGGAAGCTTTGTGCGACTCGGTGGCATATCATGGCTGTATTTGTGTGCCTTTCGATTTCAACCCGGAAGAGGGCGCCGGCGCCGGCGTCTTGAGGCCCAAGCGAGGTGGTGGAGACGTGGCCTTTGGAAGATGAAAACCCCGAGGCCGCGGTTTGGCAAGGTTTGGGGTCTTCCATGTTCACAGTGTGCACATACGGTGTGTATATACCAGGACCCTCCAAGGGGTGCCCTGTCTGGAAGCCTATAGGTAGTGTGGGGTAGTCCATTGGGGTGTCCAATGGATCCCTAGGTAGTGTAGGGGCTTCCATTGGTGACCCCTTTGAAGGTGCTGGTATATAGTGTCTTGTGTCGTATAACTGTTTTAACGGTGCAAAGCATAACGCATAAATATACACAAGACACCAATGGAAGACGTGCAATGTGTTTGTGTTGTGTGTGTGTTACCTCGGCCCGTTGGTTGGTGACAGTGCTAGTGACTTGATTTCCAGTGTCAACGGCTTGCCCTCAAGCAGCCCAACAAAGCACTGATGTTTGCCAGATGTTACATGCATGTGACCTTCGGTCGGTCTGACCAATTGCCCTTACTCATTTAATCTTTAGATATTGTTAGTCAGGTAGGCTTCCGCCCCAATCACCTAGACTGGGTCGATCTACGCAGTTGTCAGGCCTTTGTCCAACGGATCAAGCGCGAGCTAGGCAGGGGTGGCCAGTCTTGTCAGTGATTGGGTTTTCTAGAGGCTGGATTGGATGAATGGCAGACAGGTCCTTGCTTTCTTCATCTTTCTTCTGCTTGGGGGCGGATCTCGTGCCCACGCGATTCACTCGACCAAGCCACTCAGACATTCCGAGGCAACCTGAAGTGAAGGCGTCGTAGTTCGAGGGAACATCTTCTGGATTCACCTCCGGACCTTGTACATCGGACCTCCGGACCTCCGGACATCGGACCTCCGGACCTCCGGACATCGGATTGCTTGATAACCCTTTTTCGTTTCGACGTTGACTGAAGCTCCCATGTCGAGGCATCGAAAGCGGTCCGTTGGGAAGCTTCGAAGAGGGTCTCGAGCTGGGGTGCCTTGCCGTGCAAAGCCGTGGTGCCGCTGCAAGGAGTGAACGAAATGACATAAGAATCATACCATAGGGATCCAAGTACCTTCTCAGAAGGTACTTGGACCCTCCAAACCTACATAACAGTGCCTCCAATCACCTTCTGAGAAGGTACTTGGATCCCTAGGGATAAGATGACCAGGTCTTAATGTCAGATTCTGTCAGATAATCATATAGTTTGTGTTTCAACCTTTACGTGGGATGACTGATCCCATTAACATAACTTACCTTGTTCAAGTGAGTTTAAAACACCTCACCTGCAGGTGAAATTTCTGCGGTCACTGATCATCAATAGGGTATCAGGTGATGTATCCTAGATTAGATCTTTTGGCGACGTGTCCGGCTCGGATCCATTCAGATTGGTATTTCTGGCACATTTAACCTGAAGCGGCATTGAAACCTTTAATGACACATGAGGAGGCTATGTTGATCAATTGAAGAAAACAGGTTCATTCACACGCACGCATCCTCGGCCCATTCTTGGCCGAATTGACCCACATGACCGGCTTGGCATTGGACTGGTGAATTGCTTGATTCATTTTGATTCTGTATAGCCGCTGCAAACTTGCCAATTCTGCGCGTAGGTGTGCACTGAATAGTTTGTGGTGAAACATGCTTAAAAGATCTTAAAAGGCAGATATTGGGGTAGTTGTATTTACCAGGATCATCCAATGGGTGTCCAATAGACTACCCTGCCCTACTTATAGGTCTCCAATAGGCACCCGTTGGATGTGCTAGGTCTACAAAACATTGGGTAAAATGGTGTTCAGCCCCCAGATGTTTTGCTTCTGAGCGTCCGCTTCGGAAGGTTTGCAGGAAGATCTCGTGTGGCATGAAGCACCTGCATTTGTTTGGGCGATTTGCATGACCCTGCCCATTACGATGTAACATTGATTGGATCTACGGATGGGTTTTGATCTTGGCATATCTTGGAATCAGTCGCAGATGAGCGCTTTTGTTCCAAAACCGGTCGAACGAATGCACCGATGCCACCGACACACTACGCGCGTACCGGTGACCGCGCGTCATCGCGCGTACCCGACTTCTCTCCAGGTCCGGCCCTGGAGAGGAGGCGGAGGGGTCGGTGCTTTGAGCGCTCGGAAGTGATTAGGGGTCCACCAGAGGTCCGATGGCACGTTTCCCCCAAGATGTCCTTTAGAATCCTTTGGATGGGGGTCCACTATATGGTCCACTAAACCACCGACATTGGGGTTTGTGCCATTGGTCCTCTCAATCCACTATAGTTGATAGTTCTATGATGTTCTATGTATCCCAGTGGGTCCCAGGCAACGTTGGAGGAACCAGGGTTTCTTGGTCTATGGTCTATGGTCTGAGTCTTTGGAAGCAGCTGGTTACCATGGGCAGATTGGGCAGGCTATATAGTGGTAACTGGATGCCCCGGGTATGTTACTTGATTCTTTGCTTTTCTCGTGTGTTCACTTCTATCGTTGCTTCTTATCGAGGCGACGGCATGGCACTTGACTTGCTCTGAGATGGGAAGCTACCTCCCCAGCTGGGTGTCAATTGATCCGCCCGGTGCCAATCACACTGTATGACACAGGTATGGAGGGCGTCTCCAGTCATTTTGGGTCTAGGGTTCACAACGACCACTCGACACCATGTTTTCCAAACCAGCAGTTTGCCTGGAGCTTGGGGCTGCTTGGAGTAACGTTTTGACGAAACCTGTATGTTGAAGTTGTTGGTTGTTGTTACGTCTTGTCGTTGGTGAGTTGGTACGATTCACCTTTGAATTAAACTGCTATTGAACCGTTGCCCCCTGGAAACTTGAATGTGTCAACGATGTCTAACTGCTTCAAACCCAGCTGCGACTTCCGTGGCGCTGGAGTTGTTCAAGTCCGTGCTAAGTGTTTTGGAGACTCGCAGCTTTGATATATTGCCGTGACATGTTTATACGTTTTAATCTTTAAACTTAACCTCGCATCGCCTAGCAGCTGAACAAACAGATCACAGTGAACTTGCTGTATGGAGGAACTGGCTAGAAGCCCGGACTCAGTGGTCCTCTCTTCGAAGCACCGAGAGAAACCACACCCACCTCGTAGGGAAACGCTGGTTGTTGATGGCTTTTGAGACTCGCTTTCATCCGGCCTCACTAGACTCGGTGGTCTCGGCGCTTGCGCGGACGGCAGGTGCCCTTGAGCTCCGCAGAGGTGTGGGGGGGGGTTCAGGGAGCGGTTTGGGGATGCAAGCGTGCGTGGTTGGGGCCTAGCATGGCCTACCCAAAAAGTTGAGGTCAGCTGGAGGCTTTGGTTTGGCCACAAAAGGACTCCACGTGCCAGGCACTTCGGGTTCGGTTCTTGGCTGGGAGAAACGGCAACGACTGACGGAACGGACCGGCCAAGGTTCGGTTCATCGACAGCAGGCATTTGCCTCGAAAGACCAGTGGAACCCCTTTGAAGCATGTGACATGATCAACCGTGGCAAGTGCTTGTGTTCTTCCCCTCCATGCAGAAAACAACCATAACCAGGCCGTCAGGGAAGGACTCCTGTTCAGTGCGGCACCTCGTTGTGCATGAAAAGAGGCCCCAAGAGGCCCCCCAATGTTCGGAAGACCGTTCGTTGTCCGAAGAGCAAATACAATACCCAGACACGACTAATGGGACTGCCATATATATATATGCCTACATCGGGGTGGTGGTTTGGGGGGTCAATGTAAGCATTTATGGCAGTCCCATGGAGTGTTTGGGATAGGGGTGTCTTCACCTGTTTTTCGCTCCACTTCGTCACTTCCAGACTTCGCCCACCAGCGCTCCTCAGTTCCAGCTGCGCGTCCAGGTGTTGCGGCAGATCCAGGCCATGAGCAGGTCCTTTGAGGCCGAGGCGCCCGGCCATGCGGTGGGGTCCTGCAGTTGCACCAGGACTGGCTGCCCTCGGTGGTAGGTCCTACCAGGTCCAAACGTGTTCTTTGAGCCCACCGGATCAGGCAGTGCTCGACGACGACCGCAAGGCCTGCGGCCTACTCATGGTGCCAACCGTGGTGCATCATGAATCGGCTGGCTTTTCTGGGGGTGACGTTTTGACGTTTCCTGTATGGGTGAATCCCCCGCCATGATTGATTTTGGATTCTTTCTCGATTCCTTGAGGAAATCCAGAAAGAACGTGGAAAGAACACCATTTGTGTTTTTTTGCTTCATGAAAACCATGGAACACAATGGAAAACCACGCAGGATGTTTTCTAGATTCGTTTAGATTCCAGGGTTTCCTCAAAGAAGCGCTGGATTTGGTCTACAACCTTGTGCATACGGCTTCACAGTCGGATGGTCTTGAACACAGGAGACGGTCGGTCCCTACCTCCAGGAAACGATTTGGAATGACGCCCGCCTATAAAATTATCCCGGCAAGAGACCCCAGAGGTCCACTACCGTAAGAACCCCTTAGTGTGTCCACACTGTTTGGGGAAAAATCTCTTGTAATTGAAGACATACCCAGACACTCCATATTTACCGATCAGGCCAGGGGTGGTGCCGGGTCTGTTTGGGGCGGCAGTCCGGCAGTCCCATGGAGCGGTTGAAGACGTATGCATTGAATAGAAGCCTTCCAAGGGGCCATCGTACTTTACTCCATGCATCGGGCCAGAACCGACTCTATGCATCTGTTCGGTCATGGTATAGCCTGGGAACAGACTCTACAGAATCCGAACAATGGTTGTTTGATTCTGAGTATTGCATCAAAGGGTCGGTTGTTTAGGGAGATCACCATCTATGTCTATGTTTGGTTCTTTCAGGGTCCATGTTTGCGGTTGCTTTCTGAGAGTGAAATGGTGGAGCAGAGGGAACCTTGTGAGAGATTGTGGCTCCAGCAAGTGCCCCCGCAGCTTCTTCAGGGCACGCCATGAGAAAAGCCAAGCCTTTGGGTGAAAGATCGAGCAGGCAGTCCGGAGGGGCATCCTCTCACAACATAGGGCATTCATCAAGCTGAAAAGCGCAGAACTCGACGGCAGAAACTGCTGATCCTCTAAGGGGGCCCAGAGATTTGATTCGGCGCCATGGGCAACAACACCGCCAGCAGCTGTCACCAACGATGTGACAAAGTGGCTGTGGAGTATGCTGGAGTGGCTTTGCTATGCTTTGGCAGTCGACTGGAGCCTACCAGCACCCGACTTCACAGGTCACCACCCGACTTTCTGTCGTCTCCATTTCAGCCACCAGGAAGGAGACTTGTTGGAGGGTGCTGGTAGAGGTTGGTTTTGGTGGGCTTGAGACGAGGAGTCGTGTACCCTGCAGGCCCCCAGGCAGTGCCTGGACACGAAGGTCCGTCCTTGGGCTCACTGATGTTAAAGTTTGGGAGTCGTGGATACGAAATCAACTACCAGCACCTTCATGTCGGGGTCACCTGGCTGGGTTCGCCCCAGCCCACTACTAAGGGACCTCCAGACAGGACACCCCTTGAAGGTCCAGGTACCTACGTAATTCTTCTACCTGCTAGGTCTGCTAGGTGGCTCAGTTTCTTCTACAATTTTCTGTGACCTCGCCCTTTCCAACCTTTGCGAAAGTGCAACAAAACGCCCGAGGCTCTTTTTTCCCTCCCAGTTGTTGCTTTTGGAGGAGTTGTCCATAATTGCTTCAAAACTTACCGGATCTATTTCCCATCTTGGATCATCTTGGGGGGATTAGCAAAGACACATTCTTAGCATGAAAGACTCGCAACCTGATTGTCCTTTCTTGTTTGCGTAGCTTCAAAGAAGTACCGCATCGGGCCCCGGTTCGATTTCTGTTTCGGCATTGGCCACCGGAAAATGCATGGCGCCAGACCTCCGGACGCGCCCAGGCCGGGATCTACGCCTTGGCCAGCCAAGGAGCACGACTCAGCTCCCTCCGCACGAAACAAACCTTTCGTGGATGCAACTGTTTGTTGCGGGAACACACTGACCCCCTGGAAATCATCCAATAGCGTTACACTACACGGAGTGTTTGGGTTTGAAACCTCATGACTCAAGACAGTCGTCTCCACCTTTAAAAACCTTTAAAGAATGGCTTGAAGGATTCAGACTGAAGAACGGTTTGGACGGTTCAGCATAGATGGCCCCAGCTCATGGCCCGCTGCATTCATGGAACCCAAAAATATTCAATAACATATCCTTGACCAATTGGTGTTCTTTGGCCCATGTGTGTCGTTTTTAGGGGTTATTCCAGAAAACAGTCACTCTGCAACATCATCCAGACCTCCCAACACCAGGCTGGACCCCTCACTGGGATCCTCCCTGCAAGAACGCGGATGTTGTGTTCTCGAACGACTTTTGGTTTTTGGTACTTCCCCATGAGTCTAGCCAGTACTGCCCCTCCACTTCAAGTGAAAATATCCTAGGGATCCCCAGGGCTCTCCAACCAATGTCATCATGCCGTGGGTTCTGCGTGTTTTTTTTTTCTCCTCGGACGCTAACGCGCAGGTCGCCATCCGGACGGCGATCTGCAGGGCAGCGAGGTGGGATCGTCTTGGAGTGGATCGACAGCTGCGTGTGTTTGGTCCAAACAGATCCGAGCTGCGATGAGAATGAGACTTTGGAAGGTGTTCAGTTCATTTGAGTTTCGAGTCACCCTCCTATGTCTCCCAGACGCTCCAAAAAAGGACTGCCATAGGACTGCCTACATCATGCCAGGGGTGGTTGACCTGGGGGGTCTGTCTGGGGCAGCAGTACTATGGCAGTCCCATCGACCGCCGGAGCGCAGGCGTTGCTGTGCCACAAGATGCTGGTGGCTGCCAAGGATGGACGAGAGGAGCTGCGGACGACACCGGACGACACTCACACTCGGCCGGACCGGACCTTGGTGCTTAGTAGAGAATGACCCCGCTACTATATTAGTTACATATTACTATATACGTGATTCCTTGGGATCCATTCCATTCCCTACCACTCCCTCACTCCTTGCTAAGCACCGGACTCGAAGATCGCAATTGTCATGCACATGTCGTTCCATGCCTGGAAGAAATTTCAGCTATATGTGGCCATGGCCAACCAAAGGGTGGAGCAGTCTTCTGATATGGATGTTTGAACTGTGAGCCCCAAAAAAAAACATATGGGTGACCGACTCCTGTTGACTTTTTTTTGACCATGGATTGACCGACCAACCAACCAACCAACCTACCAACCTACCTACCTAACCTACGAAACCCGCCAACCTACCACCAAACTCAACTCAACTCAACACATTTCAATTCAGCTCAACTCAGCCAATCAAAACCTTTGAAAGCTTCGCGTGAGCTCCTTAGAATTGGACCTGTCACTCTTTCACGCTGCACATGGTTGCTCGTCCTTCGCCAACAACAACAACAACATGGTACAAACAAAAACTGCAACCCCGTTACAGCATATATAATTGTATATAATTGTCCTTTGTCTCTACAAAGGAGTGGAAACAACAACTGCAACCCCGTCGTTGTTTTTTGACCCCGCCCCGAAAACAACCAGCCAACAACTACTTTTACCACTAGTGGGACCATCCCCTCCAGAACTACACCTCAAAAACACAAAAAAACGGACCAGCCCAGACTCCAGTGAAACAAGTCCAACAAGCCCACCTACTTACGAAACCAACATTCCCTCAAACCCTTAGCCTTAGTCCCTAACCTTACCCCGTTGAAGTTGCTGAGTTCCAACATGTGACAACTATGTGGGGCGGCTGTTTTTGTTTCTAAAGGCCAACAGCAAGAAGAAAAAACAATGACAAACGACCCGTCTTACTGTTATTCTGCAACGAGTCTCTTCTCATTTCAAGAGACTTTGGCAACAACACGCCGCAACAACATGACCCCCAAAAACGCGCAGGATGAGCTGAAGATGCTCCTGGAGCAGGGTTTGCCCGTGGACCGGAGGTGCACACCGGTGACGCCGGAGGGCGGGCGTGGGGCGAGGTGGTTTTATTGGACCGGATCAAGGGGATGATATTACATGGAAGATTAAACTTGAACCTGGAAACCACCGGGTTGTAGAGGAAAATCGTCTTCCATTTTCAGGTTCCATCTTGATCTTCCAGGGGATTATATACATGGATTAGATGGATGACTCGATGATCCCTTGTTTGATGATTTTGTTGGCGGGTTTGGTGCCGTAACTAGAATCAGTTAGAAGGGACTTCATGCTCATTTGCATTGCTCCTTTGCAATGCTCCTAGTCCCTGACAGTTCTTTTTGGGCTGCTCCTGCCCCACCAAATGGGGCAATCACCCAAAGCCACTCCATGATTCCTTGCTTTAGACTCCGTTGGTCTGCTAGACATGGACATGTTGAACATTTTGCTCCCTGTCATCCGGTATGTAGGCAAAATCTTCCAATCCAAGGGATTCCTTTGGGCCAGAAAAGAATTGGCGCGCATGGGTTCCAAAGCGCCCATGGGCTCTCTCTGGGCTTCTGGCAACGACCTATCAGTTGCCTCCGTTGCTTGGTCAACTGCTTGGACCCAGGTCATGTGAGAGAGCTGCGTGGGTGCGCCGCGTCAACAGCCACGAAGCTGAACAAAAGGGGCAGACACTTCATGGGACTGGCATATGCCTACATTCAACCCTTTTCAACTTTTCAACCACCCCAATGTAGGTGAATTATGGTGAATTAATGGTGAAATATGCCAGTCCCATGGATAGTCTGGGAAAAGGACACACAGACGATCCATACTAGATTCGAGTCATGATGTGTTAGATCTTACTGGGTCTTACTCTCTGCCCCAGCCTGTGATGCATCTGCAGGCGTCCCTTTTTCATGAAGCGCGAACAAGAGGATGTCGAAGTGGTGGCGCCGGCCAATGCGCGGCGAGTTCATGGGATGACTGCATTGATGAAGCACGGCCAAGAATCCGAGTTGGGTCCTGAACATCGTCCTGGAATACCAAGTAGTGTACTTTTCAGGTTTCGATTTGGTCATTGAGTCAGTGGTGTTGGGTTTCAAGCTCAGGATTTGTTGCCCCACGCATTCCATTCAGCTTGCTTTCATTGATTCGTGTCCTCCCTCCCCTCCAAG